CTCTCTGCTTTTGTCTGTTTTTCGTGTTTGCGTCTTGTCTCTCTTTAAAATTTCACACTTAACTTCTAACTTAGCAATCTTTGAAAAACGTAATCAACCAATATATGCGTTAATTGTGTATTGACCGACTCTCTGTGTTGCATTACATTACATTTCGAAATTTTGCTAGGTTATTTCATTCAGTGTGTCTCTCTCCCGGTCCCCTCATTTTTCCAAGCTTCTGCAGCGTGCCACTCATTGACATGCTAATTTATCTAACCCCTCCCTCTCTCTCCGCCCCCGCCTCCTCTCTCTATTTAAGGCCTCGACACAGAGGCGTGGTTTCTCTGTGTGCCGATGTACGTCTCTATCTTTATGTATCTCTGTGATATCTGTATCTACTTATATGTCTGTCTATATGTCTCTGGTTCTGTGTTTTATCTCTCTCTCAAATTTAGCATTCTCAGGAAGAACGTAATCAACCAGGTAGGGTGTTGACTGTTATGTTATCCGACTCTCTGTTGTATTACATTACATTTCTAAGTATACTAGATTTGTTTCTATTTCATTTATACCTGATGATCGCTTGTGTTGCAATCGAAACGTCGTATGCTAGTATTTAATTGATTATTTTCTCTTGATACGTGACTTTACCGAAAGAACCAAAGAGTAGTCTCTCACAAAAAAGTTTATTGCTGGTCGGGTATCTGTGTCCCACGGACGAAAAGATGGCTTGAGGGAAGGATATTTAACAGATGTCTCAATAAAACACCCCCCCCTGCCCACAACAAACGACAAAGCAGAGTTGGCCTTTTGTGAACAAAGAGCCTGATGACTCAGCTGTGACTCCAGTTTCGTGATGAAGACACCCCCCTTTCCAGGTTAATTATGGCAGAGGCCGAGCGGACGGTCTGGGACGGCTGCTTCGTTTGAAGAACTTTATACTGGTAGGAACGAAGTGGACCAGCCTACAATAGATTATTTCGTCCATCCGTCCGATGTCCGATTACATGTAGCAACATCGCCCCCTACTGAAAACACTTGGCATGACCCTACAAAAACCTTTAGACTCTGTGAGGCTTTCCTGGCTAAACAAGTGTAACATTCCCTTATAATTCCCTCAGATAGCTTTTAATTAAAACATTTCAATTAATGAGGCTTTCCTGGATAAACACGTGTAACATTCCCTTATTATTCCCTGAGATAGCTTTCAATTAAAACTTTGAAATTAAATAAAAAACTCACAGCGCCCTAAAGCCTACAGCTAGGCCTAAAGCCTAGAACTAGGCCTCAAAGTCTCCCTTCATATCGTACCCCCGCGTGTGTGCAAGGGAGTTAATGTTTAACTATGTTACATTCCCTGATGCTTTTAAATAGAAACATTTAAATTTAAAGCTTTTACATAAATAATAAAAACATTTAAATTTAAAATTAACTCACGGCGACCTAAAGCCTAGAGCTAGGCCTAAAGCCTAGAACTAGGCCTCGAACTCTCCCTTCATATTGTACCCCCGCGTGTGTGAAAGGGAGTTAATGTTTAACAATGTTACATTCCCTTATGTTTTCAATAGAAACATTTACATTTAAAGCTTTTACATAAATAATTAAAACATTTGAATTAAAAATTAACTCACAGCGGCCTAACGCCTACAGCTAGGCCTAAAGCCTAGACCTAGGCCTCACACTCTCCCTTCGTATCGTCCGATTCGGTGTAGCAACATCGCCCCCTACTGCAAACACTTGGCAGGACCCTACAAAAACCTTTAGACTCAGTGGGGCTTTCCTGGCTAAAGAAGTGTAATAATACATTATGTTTATATTCTTTGGTTATTCGTTCCTACCAGCCCATCCCGCAGGGTCCTGTTTATTCCAATAAATCGAACACACACGGACACGCACACGCAGCTGTGTCCACACACAAGCGAACGAAAAAAAGTATGATTCCGGCCCCTTTGAAGGCAGGCGTGACAAGCAGAGACATTTTCCAGATATAAGAGAGACACGGCCATACATAGAGCATCTCATCTCATCACCGGAGCCGGAGGAGATCTCATCATCATCACCTCCAATGGAGACGCTCTCTCATCATCCAAGATGGCGATGCTCACTCAGTAGCGACGTGCTAAGCCAAACAGGGGTCTGCACCACCGAAGAATTGTCGCTACACCGAGCCGCCGAGGTGCGAGTGAAACTGACGGAGATTTCAGTTATCATTCTCGGGCAATAGCCAAGACACCCAACATCAACCCAACGTCAACCCAGCAACGAACGAGAGCATCGTTCATCGCCAGAGCACCCAGAGCCGGCGAGCGCGCACAGCCGCGTCGTCCAGTGCCCCGAGCACAAAGGTGCCAGCCACCAGTGCACGAGCGAACGAGCACCGCCGCGCCGCCAGCGCTACAGAGTACCAGCCTGCCAGCGCCAAGCGCCGCCAAGCGCCGCCGGGCACCACCGGGGCCACCGGGCGCCACCGGGCGCCACCTAGTGACCGAGCCTCTCCAAGGACAGCATCGGGCCGACGCCACTCATCTAGCAGCGGAGAGAGAAAGCCGGCGGCTCACTGCAGAGACGCCACGTGTGAGAGGAAACTCCAAGCCGTTCGTATCCCCTTCCCCACACTCACAAACTCACGACGGCGTCTGTTTAAATACGACAATTTACCAAGGAGACAATCCCACACACCCACACAATGGAATCAACCCTAGCCAATCATAAGAAGACTAATTATAAAAGTATGAATCATCAGCTGGCCATGAAGGCATCGCCTGCTTATCGCGTGATTATAATACGTCGGTTATAAGTGCATTAGTCGTTTTCTTTTATTTTGTTTTTTTATTCGCATATACGACCAATAGATTCGTCGATGCAAACTAAACTCTTGAAATCCTCATCACGAATCTACATGTTTACAGAGAGAGAATATCGTGTCAAACCTGTTCCTTTGTCATAGAATCTCGCTTAAGAATTAATTATAGCTGAGCCAGAGATACGATCTCCCATAAAGAACACACACACACGCCCTCGCACCCCATTGTTCCAAAACATTTCGTTAAAAATGTAATCTTTCCGACGAATCTATTGACATATTCTTTCGCCTTTGGGGTATAATAAGTGCTTTTATTGGCCTTCCTATGAATATCGTTGCATGCCTGTTTTAAGAACTCTCCCTATCGTCGTCTATGCTCGTTACGCGGTGGAATTAATGATATGTGCGATTGCAAAAGGAAAAAAAAGTATTGATGGTTAAGTATGCTGCTCACTGAGAGAAATCTCCCCGATGGTACCCTGGATAATTCCAAGCATGAGAGTTCGCATATTAGAGTGTCATATTTTTGTTTAGAATTAAAATTGCTTAACCCAGAAGTGTTTGAGTGTTTCTTTCCAAGTCCATGCATAACTATCTTATTTACAAGAACTGTATCCTGCGTTGAGATATGAATTTGGAGACACACTAAGATATAATTAATAAATGTTTAAGCAATGATAATTGTTTTATCCCGATTAATACGACTCTGGGCAAGGAAGCTGAGCCTAATTATCATAACTGCCCACATTAACATAATCTCCATGACTATCATAATTTATGCATATAATTTCCAAAACTTGCGCATTTTTCCAATCTTCATTTAATTTTAATTATTTTTTTAATCAAAATTTCATAACCCGACATATACAACAACAGAGACCCATAGACTCACACGGAGCTCTGTTGACTCACCACACAGAGACCCATGGACTCACATAGAGACCCATAACCTCACTCGCAGAGACCCATAGACTCACACGGGGATCTGTAGACTCACCACACAGAAACCCACAGACTCACATAGAGACCCATAACTTCACTCGCAGAGACCCACAGACTCACACAGACACCCAACGACTCATCAGACAGAGACCCATGGACTCACATAGAGACCCATAACCTCACTCACAGAGACCCACAGACTCACACAGACACCCAACGACTCATCAGACAGAGACCCATGGACTCACATAGAGACCCATAACCTCACTCACAGAGACCCACAGACTCACACAAACACCCAACGACTCATCAGACAGAGACCCATGAACTCACGTAGAGACCCATAACCTCACACACAGAGACCCATAGACTAACACAGACGGCTACCGGTTACTGACATTCGCAACCGGTTATCCATCTTTGTAAATAGTGTAGACTCAGTGAGCCTGAGTGCAGCGTGGACTCAGTGAGTATGTGTGCAGCGTAGATTCAGTGAGTCTGTGTACAGCGTTGGCTCACTGAGTCTCTGTGCAGCGTAGACTCAGTGAGTCTGTGTGCAGCGTGGACTGAGTGAGTCTGAGTGCAGCGTGGACTCAGTGAGTCTGTGTGCAGCGTGGACTCAGTGAGTCTGTGTGCAGCGTGGACTCAGTGAGTCTGAGTGCAGCGTAGACTCACTGAGTCTGAGTGCAGCGTGGACTCAGTGAGTCTGTGTGCAGCGTGGACACAGTGAGTCTGTGTGCAGCGTAGACTCAGTGAGTCTGTGTGCAGCATAGACTCAGTGAGTCCGAGTGCAGCGTGGACTCACTGAGTCTGAGTGCAGCGTGGACTCACTGAGTCTGAGTGCAGCGTGGACTCAGTGAGTCTGTGTGCAGCGTGGACTCACTGAGTCTGAGTGCAGCGTGGACTCAGTGAGTCTGAGTGCAGCGTGGACTCACTGAGTCTGTGTGCAGCGTAGACTCACTGAGTCTGAGTGCAGCGTAGACTCACTGAGTCTGTGTGCAGCGTGGACTCAGTGAGTCTGAGTGCAGCGTGGACTCACTGAGTCTGTGTGCAGCGAGGACTCAGTGAGTCTGTGTGCAGCGTGGACTCACTGAGTCTGAGTGCAGCGTAGACTCAGTGAGTCTGTGTGCAGCGTGGACTCACTGAGTCTGTGTGCAGCGTGGACTCAGTGAGTCTGTGTGCAGCGTGGACTCACTGAGTCTGAGTGCAGCGTTGGCTCACTGCGTTTGTGTGCAGCGTGGACTCAGTGAGTCTGAGTGCAGCGTGGACTCACCCAGTTGAGCAGAGACCCCTACTTGCGTGGAGTGCACGGAGAAGGGTCGATCGAGCAGCAGCACGGGGAAGCCCTCGGCAGGGCAGCCTCAGCAGGGGCGGCCTCAGCAGGGGCAGCATTGTGGGGCAGCAATCCCGGGCTCACGGCTCTGGCACGATCTCCGAGTCTCGAATTCGAGTCTGTCCCGGCTTGAGTCTCTGAGTCTGTCTCCCGTCAGGGGCCGTGCGATCTCAGTGCGCGCGAAGAGGCAGAGAGAGAGAGAGAGTGAATTAGGCAGGGAGAGTGAGATAAAGTGAGAGGCAGAGAGAATGTGACGGTGGGGGTGAGGATGGGGTGGCCGTGTGAGTCGGGGCAGTTTCAACTGTGGTGGCGTGGAGCCAAAGCTAGGGGTGAGCCTGAGTTTTTCTCTGAGTCTCTCTCTGTGTCCGAGCCTTTTTCTGAGTCTGAAATTAGAGACTCAGAGAGATTCATAGAGACTCGAAGTCTCTAATCTCAATCTATGTCTGAGTGTTGAGTCGCTCCTGTGTCTCTGATTCACTGTCTGAGTCTCTGTTTGGGCGATATTTTTGTTTAATTGCATAATTAGTAAATCAATAAAAACGATATGAATGATTTACATTTTACCGTGTAAGGTCCAATGTAGCAGCTCTTTTTCAGAAGCGACCTGGCTATCACAAATGATACTTAGCGGCTTATCACGTGGAAATGTATAGCAGCAGCCGCATACTCTAAACCAGGGGTCCTCAAACTTTTTAAACAGGGGGCCAGTTCACTGTCCCTCAGACCGTTGGAGGGCCGGACTATAGTTAAAAAAAACTATGAACAAATTCCTATGCACACTGCATATATCTTATTTTGAAGTGAAGAAACAAAACGGGAACAAATACAATATTTAAAATTAAGAACAAGTAAAGTTAAATCAACAAACTTGCAGTATTTCAACGGGAACTATGGGCCTGCTTTTGGCTAATGAGATGGTCAATGCCCGGTTCCATATTTGTCACTGCTAGTCGTAACAAGTGATGCAAGTGTGCATCCGTTAGTCTAGATCTGGTTGGAGATTTCAAATGTTTAATTCTGGAAAAAGTCTGTTCACAGACATAAGTGCTGCCAAAGATGGTTGCCATTTTGAGTGCATGGTTCCTGAGATGAGGATATGTATCAGAGGGGAGAGATGCATAGAAATTATGAAGGCTGCTTGACTTGAATGCGTCTTTCAGAGATTCACAATTCTGCAGTTCAGCCAGTTCCATTTAATAAATTGTATCCACATTTTCAATGTCAATAGAAAATGGGTTACGGAAAAGCTGTATGTTCTGTTCATGGAGATGAAGCTCTTTAAATCTAAATTGGAACTCCTTTTGCAATTTTTCCAGTGAATCCACACATGTTTTGTTTGGGAATTGCAACCAATGGTTTTTCCGCTAACAGATTTTGAGTTGTGGGGAGATGGCAGAAGTTTTCCTCCTTAACTTGTTTGATGAGGAGCTTCCCCATTCCTTGAAGTTGCACATTGAAACTGTTGAGTAGCTCTGTTACATCTGTCAGAAAGGCAAGGTGCCATTTCCATTCTGCATCATTGAGTTCTGGTACTTTGTTTTTTGAAAGCAGAAAAGCTGTAATCTGTGGAAGTAAGTCATAGAAACGTTTCAAAACTCTCCCTCGACTCAGCCAACGGACTTCTGTGTGGTACAGAACATCTTCATAGTCAACATTTAGTTCAGACAGAAATTCCTGAAATTGTCTGTTATTTAGTGCATGAGCTATAATGAAGTTAACACAAGATACCACAATTTTCATAACAGTCCCATTTCAGTGATTTACTACACAGCGCCTGTTGGTGGATGAGGCAGTGTATGGCTATTGGATGAGAATGGTTATGTTTGTCCATCTCTTGGTTAATGCGAGCAATTACTCCTTTCTTAGACCCCACCATGCCAGGAGCACCATCAGTTGTCACACTGGCTAGTTTAGCCCAATTCAGCTCCAAACCATTCACAGTTTGGCAAACCTTTTCATAGATATCCTCTCCTGTAGTTGTTCCTTTGATGCTTTGCAGTGCAGCAAGCTCTTCTGTGACTTCGAAATAGTCATTCGTCCCACGAATAAAAATTAGAAGTTGTGCAGAATCACGAACATCATTGCTTTCGTCGAGTGCCAAGGAAAAATAGGAAAGTTTTTTTGTGGAGTTTTGCAAATGCTGATGCAAATTGTCTCCCATTTCTTCAATCCTCCGTGTAATTGTAGGTCCTGAAAGACTCACTGTACTAAATAAATCGGCCTTCTCTGGACACATCTCTTTGGCAACAGAAAGAAGGCATTCTTTAACAAATTCTCCCTCCACGAATGGTCTGCCAGTGCACGCTATTAGCTTGGCAACTTGAAAACTTGCTCGCAGTAATGAAATATTTAGCTGCTTCTGCTTCACAAAAGTATTTTGCTGAGTTGTTAATGTATTTTTCAGTTTTAATGTTTTATATTTTCTCCGACCAAGCAATCATATTTATCTTTATGTTGAGTTTCATAGTCTTGACGTAAATTGTATTCTTTGAACACAGACACTATATTCTGGCATATCAGACACACAGCTCTTTCCCTGTACTGCATGAAAAAGTAATCATAAGTGCACTGTTCTTTGAATATCCTACACTCCGAGTCAATTTTTCTCTTTCTTGACATCATTGTTTCCTAGGGAGTCAAAATTGCTATTAGTAAAATACCAATATATATACAGCGCTACAAAAAACAATATACCAGCAATAACTTTGCCCACACAGAGACATACAGACTGCACTGCCCATCAATGCAGTCTGATTGGGGGAACTCCGCTTTTACCCCAGGCTCACACTGGTGCGGGTGCCATTAAAAAGTTAATTACACCTGCAGTTTTGTTCACAGATCGCAGTACATCCCCAGCACACAGGAATATCACTGGGAGTGGAGCCGAGGGGCAAGTGAGGGAGCTGAGGGAGGCAGAGCCAGTCAAGCGCAGCCAGGGGAGGGCTGGCAGCCTTAGGCCTGGGGGGCAAGTCCAGTCAATTGGCCCATTGAACCATTCACCAGCGCAGCCCAATGAGTGCCCACCGCCGCAGCTCAATAAGTACCCACCGCCGCAGCTCAATCATTACTCACCAGCGCAGCCCAATTAGTGCTCACAAGCGCAGCCCAATTAGTGCTCACCAGCGCAGCCCAATGAGTGCCCACCGCCGCAGCCCAATGAGTGCTCACCAGCGCAGCCCAATTAGTGCTCACCAGCGCAGCCCAATTAGTGCTCACAAGCGCAGCCCAATTAGTGACCATGGGCCGGATAAATGTCCTCGGCGGGCCGCATGTGGCCCGCGGGCCGTAGTTTGAGGACCCCTGCTCTAAACGCACGTTGATTCTAAATGTGGAGAAAAATCCACACGACCACGGGGAGAAAGAGACACGAAAACTCAAAATATACAGCAGCAGGTGTCAGGGTCGCGATCAAAACCATGACCTCCTGCACACCAGGAGAGGCAGTTAACATCTTCTAGCCACCGTGATAGTGATCAGAGAGACACGCAAACTCCAAATATACAGCAGGTGTCTGGGTCGAGATCAAACCACGACCTCCTGTAGACCAGGAGAGGCAGTTAACATCTCCTAGCCACCGCGGCGCCCCTAATAATGGCACAAAAAATGGTTTGGTGCCGCATGCATAGACGCAACTTCAAATGTCCCCGCGACTGGTCAAGAGTGAAAACAACATTAATGTTTCTAACCGGCGCAGATGTTCCATTAGAGGGGGGTCCACGTTTCGCAAGCATAGAGAGGGAGGGCAGAGCGACAGGCGAGGTCGCTTCCACGCAGCAGCATTACACGGCCGGTGAAAAGATGATGACGCACGGCTGTTTCGGAGTGAGACCTCGACCGTCAAACCGGAGCCGATCATGAGCACACCGCCCCCTGGAATGAGAAACTTCTCCACCCTCTCCACAACCGCTCCGTCACCAATTGGGAGTTGAGGGTGGCGGAGGGTTCGACGGCACACAGAATGCCCAGGCCGGTGCTCCGTTTCTTCGTAGCGTCGTCACTTTGGCAAGGGGGCCGTCCATAAAAGACGTCACGCGATTTTGGACGATTTTTGACCCCCCCCCCCTAGTCACACGGCGTCACAAAAAGTCAGACCCCCTCAAATATGACGTCACAATGCTCTGCCCCCCCTCCCCCCTCAAAAATAAAACATGCTTCAAATCGCTTTAAACTATTGTCATTGTAGTGCGTATTTAATGTGGCGCTGCACTCTGATTTTGTAGGAGAAAACATTTATTAAAACGTCTATTTAATTAAGTAGAACGTGTTGTCTATCTATATATATATATAAAATCGTGAATCTGTCTGTCTGTCTGTCTGTGTGTCTGTGTGTCGCCGGACCATACGCACTTTCATTGGACGCCGGTTGCCCCTGCCAACGGCTAGCGACGCCTTCGCCGCTTTCATTGGACGGCGGTTGCCCCTGGCAACGGGTAGCCACGCCTTCGCCGCTTTCATTGGACGGCGGTTGCCCCTGCCAACGGGTAGCGACGCCTTCGGCGCGGGGTGGACGCCATTTTGAATTCCCCTTAAAAATAGGCGCACGCATTAACACGCGACTCTGACGTAAATTCATCACAGTTTCACGTCCTCTTCACTCCCCTCCCACCCCAATGTGTTCAATTACTATTATAGGCTTCGTAGGTAATAAAATAATAGCGATTAGACAGTATTATTGTAGCGCGAGGGGGTGGGGGGGAACGGCACCCGTACCCTGCCTCTGCCGGGTGGGCAATTTTGGCGAGGCCGGAGGCTCTGCACGCTACTAGGCCTCGACACCCACCACGCGACTCTGAGGTAAATTCATCAAAGTTTCACGTACTCTTCACTCCCCCCCCACCACAATGTGTGCAATTAATATTACTTGTAAACCCAACGCGCCAAGAATCTATTCTTTAAATGTTGACTGTACAAATAGTCATTAAGCTGGGTGAGCGTACTGCCAGTCTATAATGTAGACTGTAGCCTGCTTATTAAATTGGGTGAGTGTACTGCCAGTCTATAATGTAGACTGTAGCCTGCTTATTAAGCTCGGTGAGCGTACTGCCACTCTATCATGTACACTCTAGCCTGCTTATGAAGCTGAGTGGGTGTACTGGCAGTCTATAATGTAGACTGTAGCCTGCTTATTATAATCGATTCTTTCAATGTTCTTTGTACAAATTGTCATTAAGCTGGTTGAGCGTACTGGCCGTCTATAATGTAGACTGTAGCCTGCTTATTCTGTTGGGTGGGTGCACTGCCAGTCTATCAGGTAGACTGTAGCCTGGTTATTAAGTAAAGTTAGTCAATTTGTAACACGTACGCTTTCGCAAACATTATTCATAAACAACGTTATTGGGTTTAGATCGCCTTATTTATTAATGTGTTGTAACCCTTATCCACCACCCGACACGCCCAATCTGCAAAAAATTGTCACGTTCATAAAAGACTAAGACTTCACTGCTTTAGCCCACCGGTGTGTTCAAGCGTAAAACCACAACAATTACCATTTCTCATGAAAAAACAACTGTATAATAATGTTTAAACCCCACGCACCAATAATGGATTCTTTCAATGTTCATTCTACAAATAGTCATTAAGCTGGCTGAGCGTACTGGCAGTCTATAATGTAGACTGTAGCCTGCTTATTCAGCTGGGTGGGTGTACTGGCAGTCTATCATGTACACTGTAGCCTGCTTATTAAGTAAAGTTTGTCAATTTGTAACACGTGGCCTTTCGCGAGCATTAATCATAAACAACGTTATTGGCTTTAGATCGCCTTATTTATTAATGTGTTGTAACCCTCCACCACCCAACACGGCCATTCAGTAAAAAAGTGTCACGTTCAGCGGTGAGGGAGGGAGAGCGGTGAGGGAGGGAGAGCGGTGAGGGAGGGAGAGCGGTGAGGGAGGGAGAGCGGTGAGGGAGGGAGAGCGGTGAGGGAGGGAGAGCGGTGAGGGAGGGAGAGCGGTGAGGGAGGGAGAGCGGTGAGGGAGGGAGAGCGGTGAGGGAGGGAGAGCGGTGAGGGAGGGAGAGCGGTGAGGGAGGGAGAGCGGTGAGGGGGGGAGAGCGGTGAGGGGGGGAGAGCGGTGAGGGAGGGAGAGCGGTGAGGGAGGGAGAGCGGTGAGGGAGGGAGAGCGGTGAGGGAGGGAGAGCGGTGAGGGAGGGAGAGCGGTGAGGGAGGGAGAGCGGTGTTGGAGGGAGAGCGGTGAGGGAGGGACTCAGCCTCAAAACGAGTAACTGGTGTGGCATATTAACATCGGCACTGGGGAGACAAAGGCGGCCGGGCGTGGTGGATACAAGTCCCGGGCGAAGCCGGGTAGTACAGCTAGTGTTTATTTAAAGTTGCGCATTTTGATGTGACGTCACATTTCACAACCCCCCCCCTCGTCACACATCGTCACAAATGTCCGACCACCCCTCCCCCCTAGGTGCGTGACGTCATTTATGGACGGTCCCTTTAGTGCTCAGACAGGGACCTACTGAACACTATCACGTCATCCAGGTAAATTAGGTACTGTTCCCATTACAAGCCCCGCATCACCAACTCCATCAACCGCTGGAATGTCGCTGGCGCGTTAGTGAGTCCGAACGGGAGTGCTTGGAACTCGAACAGTCCCATCCTTATCCTCTGTTTACGTTGGTGTGTTCAACCTAGAGCAAGAAGATGGGAGACGAGAACTCAGCAAACCTCAGAAATATAATGTGATGCAACCCAGTCGGCCAACAACACAGTTAGATACTAAACCTGGTTGACCACGTATTTCAAAAGACTGCTAAATGTTGTGTTCATCTTCTAGGTTGAACACACCAACGTAAACAGAGGAAAAGGACTCGTGAGCAGACACGAGGTACAAGGTAGCAGAGATACATACACAGATAAGACACACAGGGAAAGGTGTTTTGGGCAGCACAGAGGGACACAACAAGCAACACCACACCAAGAGACATACACACATGGAGAGGCACACGCAGAAAGACGCCCAGAGGGGTAACGTACAGGGACTTATATAGGCTGTAGAGGTGGGGTTAGGGAAGGGTAACCGGTGTGTTCCCTCGCTTGTCTCCCATCTTCTTGCTGTATTTGCCTCTGTGCACTTTGCCGTTCTCTGTGTGCTCTGTGTGTGATGTCCCTCTGTGCGTTCCCTCGCTGTGTGGTTTACGCCATTTTCACCTGAGGACGAGCGCTTGTGTTGCGTTTGAAACGTCGTGATTTATTTTTATTTTATTTTATTTCTACATATGTGACTTTACCGAAAGAACCAATGAGTATAGGTGTTAAGATGTTCAAACAACAAATGTAAACCTTTTGTAAGGAATAAAGTCTGCATTAACCACACGTACTTGTGGTGAACATGCAAACATGTTCTAATAATATATGCATTGTCTTTGAAACTGATTGACCTACACCAGAGACAGCCTTCCTTAGGGCCTAGTGTCACCAATGTAAGACCAGAGAATGCCAAAAGGTGAAGAGTGCGAGCTATAAATGCTCTGAGTGCATTGTCTTTGTACTGTTTACCTTCTGGCGTTCTCTGGTCTGACGCTTGTGAGACTAGGCCCAAAAGAAGGCTGCCGCTGGTGTAGGCCAATCAGTTTTAAAGACTGCATATATTATCAGGGCAGGTTTGTTTGCATGTTCACCACAAGTAAGTATGGTTAATACAGACTTTGTTAATTAGAAAAGGTTTATATTTAGTTTGTGAACATTTAATACCTGTTTTATTGCCAGAAAGCGTAAAACCTATTGTTTTTTTTCATACCTGAAGGTGCCTGCTGTATATTTGAGGTTTGTATATTTGAGGTTTGCATGTTCTCTCTCCTCGTGATTGTGTGGTTTTTCTCCGTGCCCTCTGGGTTTTCCCTCCACATTCAGAATCAACATGCATGCAGAGTATTTGGCTGCTATTACACATTCCCACATGATGAAAAGCTAGTTAGTTGAGCTACCGTTATTGGCCAGGTCGCTTCTGAAAAAAAAATCGATATATCTCAGTAGGCTTTACCTGTTACAACAAATATTCTATAGTTTAGTAGCCCTTGAGCTGCTTGCAGGTAGGATCATTGTTTTCATAGCCCCCACTCACTGTGCTTAGATTAGTCGTCCCTAGAGTACAGCAAATCGGGGTGACCTCCCTGTTCCCCTCGCCCTTTGGGAGGCCCCCGCACTTCGACGTCAGGGTGTCAGATGTAATTCTTCCGGTTTAGTTTAAAGGCGTCGGGGGGCGGGGCACATAGGGAATTTATCCCGAGGTCTGCACCCCCTATGGATGGCCCTGGCAGTGGCTATGTCATACTGAACATCTGTGGAAAAGAGCTTCATATGTTATCGGATTGCTCCTCCAGTACAAATTAAAAACAATAATTGATAGGCGTCGGGGTGTGGGAAAAATGGTAGAGCAGGAGTAGTAGGCCAATGCGTACTCGGGCCTGTATATATTTGTGATAATGCAGATGATAATGTTGCTGACGATGATGATGCAGCTGATTATAATATTGCTGATGTTGCAGATGATGATTTTACTGATGGTAATTGTAGCTTGGCATAAAGTTTGCAAACATGTTACCATGTTTTACCACAAGTGTAGTGGCATAAATTAGTAGTGTAGCTGGCAGGAAAGGGGATCAGCGGCTTACGGCAGCCCCGACGTCAGCATGCCAGGATATATACCAGAGGGGGATCTAGGGGAAAGGTCACAGAAGGGGCGGAGCGAGGCTACGCTGACGGTATAAGAGGGGCCCCTGTAGGGGCCCTAGGGGCTGTTGTTGAAGTGGGATCCCTGTTGTGCTGCTGAAATCTTTGTCACCATTCTCGTCGTCTTCACCATTTTTCTTCTCATCGTCTCCGTCTTCACCATCTTGGGGCCCCACCAGTCAGGCGGCCTACCAACTGTCCTGACTGAGTAGCGTCGTCGCCAATAGACATACTAATAATTAGGAGTGGTAAACCCGATGTTGCTGGTTAATAACGAAGTGCCTCCAAGTCTTATTGTCTCCGAGTTAGTCACCACACAAGTTTCTGTATCAGAATCTTCATTTAGACTGGAGGAGGTGAAATTGATAAGCTATAAACCTCTTTTTTCACAGATGTTCAGTGGGGGTGAGTCAGCAAGTTACAAATATGTGTGGTTAATGTCTTGTAATAGGTTTAGATTTTTGTACGAACATCTTAACGCCTCCTGAAACATTATTTCCAGAAAGGGTAAAGCTTATACTTTATATCATCTTGAATGTGGCAAAAATATTACTTAGAATTCTAGACAATGAAGAAATACAGAAACACACTGGCTGATCTCTAAAATGACTTTATTACACAATAAAGGTGACAAATCACATGTTAGTCATTGACCAATACACAATATATCGCGAAATGTTAAACACATTCACCAAATTCTTCATCAAAGAATGCAATAGATTAGGTAACAACCAAACAAGAGAATTTGAAAGTTTTTCAAAAATCAATCAACAAACGGCCACCTTCAAACAATCAAATACAGAGATACACATTGCGTAAAATACTAGTTTCACATTGCTTTCATAGCTTACCCGAATTAATTTGATTTTAATAGAACGAGCATATTATCAGATCTAAGTCAACGAAGAGTTTAAACAAAACATAACTTTGAGGAACACCTGCAATTGAAGTATTGCCTGCATTAAACGAGAATGCCCACCTTGACACATATGTCTGCGTCAAATTATACATTCATGATTGATTTGGGTTAGGCCACAATGATCTGACCAAATCTGCGTCGTTCGATAAAACCTACACAGCAAACAAACTAATTAGAAGAGCAATCCAGAAAGCCAGTCACTTTGCCTTTCTGGGTCATTCCTCTGACTTACTATATCTTGTGCTAAAGATGCCTGCCTAAGTCAGACCTAACTGAGCAGAGTAAAAATTAACCCGTAAAAACAAAGTTTTTCATTATAAATCCTTTATATGCGTGGCGGCTAGAGTCCTCTCGTCCTCTGGCTTGACATGGCTGCCACCTATGGGTCAGATGATTGCCTGCCACCATTAAGCAATTGGTAATTAAATATAAACATTTTTTTTCTAAAATGTTGAAAATTTTGGAAATTGTTTTCACGAAAATAAATTGTCACACACAACGAGTCTGTGTGCAAAATGTCAGCTCGATTGGATCACGGGAAGTGGGTTAAAAAACGACCGAAAGATTTGCACGGTCGTAAGCGCACAAGCAAGCAAGCAAGTGAACTTAATATAAAGGATTTAAAAATGGCTGGATTTATATAGTATATAATGTGTATGAAATGCAATCGAATTTTTTATTAATATATTATGCATATTAAGTGCTATAGATTATGTTTCATAGTATATAAGGTATAAGAAATTTAACAAAAATGTTACGGAGAATATAATGCAAATTAAATTTAAAGAATGTTATATAGTCATATTCCGCCAAGATCCATCTACTTCTGGATCTAGGCATCTCCAGCCATCACCATCTCTCTTAATCCTGCAATGTGATTATGCAACTAGCCACCTCTTGAAGGCCCAATCCCTTTCTTGAAGGCCCACCTCTTTTTAAACGTCCACATATTTGGTAACGGCACCACCACTTACTTTAAGATACACATCTTTCTTAAAGGCCCTATGCCTCTTTTCCGTTGGCTTTCGAGTGACACTGAGCTTTAGAGTAACCAATTTATGTCAACGATATGGATAAAGTTGTACATACTTGGTACTTATTGAATGTATTAAAAAAATATTTGAGAGGCAAACTATACCGTGCAGTTAAGTGGGAATAAGCGTATTTATCATGTAAATTTGCTCAATATATAAATTGAGTGGGAACCAGTTAAGTGTTCGAGAGATACGGAAGGGATAGTTGTGGCAGGATGAGGAGCCGTACACATTGAGATCCTCTGGGCAGAGTCGTCCATCGGAGGGTGTGGGGCCTGGAGAAAATCCCACTGTGGGCACCCAGACACCATAAAACACAGGGCCTGGAGCCGTCACCCCGATTTGCCGTACTCTAGAGACGGCTCTGCTGTGAGTCTATGGGCAGTGTTGAGTGCATGGGTAGTGTCGAGTCTATGGGCAGTGTTGCGTATATGGGCAGTGTTGAGTCTTTAGGCAGTGGTGAGGCTATGGGCAGTACTTTTCAGGGCCGTCCATAGGGGAGTGCGAGGCCCGAGGAAAATCCGACTGTGTGGGCCTCTCGAAGCCGAATAGTAAATCGGAAGTTGTACATCTAACACTGTGACGTCGAAGTGCGACCCCGCCCCCTCCAAGTGTGAAGGGAAGATCAGGGTTAATCTAATCATTTTATTATAATGAATTATGTTCATCTGAAAATGTGCAGTACATATTACTGGTTACAAGACTGTGGGAGATGCCGAATGTTCATAAACAATTCCATTCAACAGTGGATTTATCATGGCTGATGATGAATGAAAAAAATGTTCAGCCTCTTGTAATTTCACTGCTGGATGAAGTGCTCCTCATGTTTTATTCACGTGGGTTGTTTTGCCATTCTTCACCACACTGGTCAGTAATATCAACCAACATGGATTGATCGTGGTTGATAATGATTATTGGCGAATGATGGGTGATGGTGTTCATATGTTTCACATTTGACCTGCAGCATAATTGCATCTTCACCAACCACGCTTAGCTGATGATGCATTTTTTATTTTTGTCCATCTTCTCCTCGTGGTTCTGCTCTATGTCTTCGATGTTTTCATCCGTGTGTGTCTTGATCACATCCATATGCTTGCCGAATAACTTCAAAAAGCTCTGAAAGAAAGTCATAAAATGCTCATCACCGAATTTATTTCATGGAATTAATTTCTAGAGGTGACCTCAGTAGGAGGTGCGATGGCCGAGCAGTAGCAGGTTTGCTGCTTGTTGCATGCGTTAATGGATCAAGAACATCAGTCACCCTTGTAAATACTGGTGTATGTATTCATCATACAGAAAAGGCACTGTTAAATATTTTGTGACATTCTGAAAATAGTAGGCTATGTGTTCTTCCATGAAAGTCCACGTTTTCAAAATGATATCAATTAATCGACTGACAGACTAATGTCCACTTCCAGATTGTGACAGCTGTCACTGAGGGTTCTCTTGAACAGACTCGCGCAGATGCATTGCATGGGAGGCCGCAGTAAACATAATTCATATGAAAAAATGATGATAATGATGATGGACGGTGATTATATTGTTGACAGGAGGGGATAGGGCTCGCCACCAATAGCTGTTGTACTGGTACAGCCCTTTTATCTATACACTGCTTGATGAGGGCATTACCAAGCTGTGCAAGCCGTGGGGGATATTTGACCCCACTGGTCACTACGGGTTGGTGATAGGAGGGAGCTTAGATGTGCCCACCACTTAACCCCGCTGCCACCTATGACAACTTGCTGTGCATAGTGGTGCTTGCCCATCTAATCACTATTCTTAGGTGTTTTCGGTAAAGTCACGTAGGTAAAACATAAAAATTAATAAAAGTAAAATAAAATTAAAATCACGACGTTTCGGAAGCAACACAAGCTTCTGTCTTCAGGTGGAACCGTCACAGCCACGACAGATGTATCAAGTAAATGCGAGATTGCAGGAGCTACCACTCCGTTTATATAATGGTTGGAGAGGGGGGAAGGGCCAAGTACAGCACACTTTTTTTTCATATGGTAAGGTGAGGCTTAAGAGGGTGAGCCTTTGTTATGGAGATGTACGGTTTGTGACTCAACCTGTGACAAGGAGAAAACAACTGAACATGGTAAACCTGTAATAGTTGTCTGTCAAATAAGATTGGCCAAATAAGTGTAGTTAAAATTTTTTTTGCATGGTTAATCACATCTTTACAATGATTATTCAGTTTGTAACAAACACAAACACAGACATAATTTCAACCGTGATGATGGTTACAAACTGAGTAATCATTGGAAAGATGTGATTAACCATGCAAAAAAATTTTAACTACACTTATTTGGCCAATCTTATTTGACAGACAACTATTACAGGTTTACCATGTTCAGTTGTTTTCTCCTTGTCACAGGTTGAGTCACAAACCGTACCTCTCCATAACAAAGGCTCACCCTCTTAAGCCTCACCTTACCATATGAAAAAAAAGTGTGCTGTACTTGGCCCTTCCCCCCTCTCCAACCATTATATAAACGGAGTGGTAGCTCCTGCAATCTCGCATTTACTTGATACATCTGTTGTGGCTGTGACGGTTCCACCTGAAGACGGAAGCTTGTGTTGCCTCCGAAACGTCGTGATTTTAATTTTATTTTACTTTTATTAATTTTAATGTTTTACCTACGTGACTTTACCGAAAAAAACCTAAGAATATGAATCTTTGCAGTCACGAAAGCTTCAAATCTACATCTAATCACTATCCAGGACCATTCCTACTTAGTATCCAAGATCTGACCATATTTGGCAGTTTCTGAGTAATTTTGCAATTTTGACATTTTTATTCTTGTTAGTTTTTACTTTGGCGGTGTGGTGGTGCGGTGGTTTGCACAGCGCACCTTGAACCCAAGTTCCCCTTTCCAACCCACACTGATGAGCATGGTGAAGTATGGTTCAATAATGCCCACAGTCTACATGGCAAGGGGAGGCCCTCATTCAGTAGTGGACTGAAACACGAATATACTACTCCAGCCATTGTGGCCCTTAACTTTCACTCAAACGTCATAAATTATTGTTCCTAAAGTGATAATTTCTTAGAACTGCTTTTTGTGTTTATTTTTTTCCTTCCCCTTCACCTCCACTTAGCACTGTTGGCTACGTACGGTGTGAAGAGAAGTTGAAGATACATACAAACAATTACAGATATGTGCTAGATGCACACAGCTAAAAAGCACAACTGAATATGAGTACCGAGGACAGTTATTCAAGGTAGAACGGGATCAATATCCTTAAATAAAGAGGCAGGCAAGAGCAAGTTCGAGAGCTGTTGGAAAGCTGAACTTGATCATGTAAAGCAACATATCAATGTGCATAAGAAGGATTTTAATCCATATCTACTCCCTGCTATGGCTTTTGGATCCTAAACAAAGGCAGTAATAAACTAAGTTGAACACAAACTGAAAAGTGTACAAAACATAAAAAATGCATGCTTGGAATTACACGTGAATAAGGGAACAAGTGTTAATTAGAGACATCACTTGGCTGTTGAGGTGAGTTGGTAGCTCAAAGATCTGAGCACTGAGGCAGCTGGCACCTGTGATTAAACTGGGGTTTCAAATGTAATGAGTTGATAGTTTCAGCCTTGTCACCAATGTTATCATGAAAAAACGTAAAAAAATAATTATTAAAAAAATACAACAAGGAAGGAATGTCATGAATATATGCATGGATTCTATAATGATTTCAACATGTAGGTATCTCCAAATATCTCTTTCTGCTGTACGTCAGGATTGAAAACATAACCTGCTATGGTTTGTTGTTTAATATGGTGACAAAATGGTGAAAGTAGCATGGTATTTTTCTTGAAAATTAAGTGTCAAAGATAGTAATAGCTTTGGGAGGAGCTCCGCGAATAGTGTCCAGTCCGCTGGAGAACGGGTATGTAGTGATGTTGTTCGCGATATATTTTATGTTTGGGTGGCGGCAGTCAGTGCACTGTGGGTCATCTTTAAGTTCCCACTCGTGGACGAGTTGTGCACAGCAACCAGTCATTGGTCTGAAGCGGTTGATGGATCCACCACAGTTTTCTTGGCAATCCAAAGCCTCAGTGAGGCTTTATGAGGAACCTTCAGCAGACCTCCACAACGTTCACAGTGGTCTTCAGCTGACCCTGCCTCTCAGACTAGTTTGTGTAGGGTCGAGCAGGTCTTGGTGTAATGGGAGATTTACACTTTCTAAGATTTTTTTTCCCAGTTAGTTTTATGGCGTGGCATCCCACCAGAAGTTTGTTAGCATAAGGTTGGCCAAAAAAGGGTTAGTTACTCAATAGGAGAGCATTTAAGTTTGCCCATTATTGTAAAGGATGCTGTTGATCTGGATGTCTAATTCCTTCGTGTGGGTACTCTGCCAAGACTGGGCGCAATACTAATAACTGGAGAATAGAGTAGTATTGGTAGTGGCTCCCCATGCTGTAGCGGCCATTTTTTGAATCAGAGACCATCTGGTCTTTGTTGTATTGTACATTTTTTAAATCCTTTATATTAAGTTCGCTTGCTTGCTTGCGTGCTTGCGTGCTTGCTTGCTTACGACCGTGCAAATCTTTCGGTCGTTTTTTAACACACTTCCCGTGATCCAATCGAGCTGACATTTTCCACACAGACTCGTTGTGCGTGACAATTAATTTTCGTGAAAATTGTTTTCCAAAATTTGACACTGTTTAGAAATTTTTCAAAAATATTTAATTACCAATTGCTTAATGGTGGCAGACAATCATCTGACCCATAGGTGGCAGCCATCTCAAGCCAGAGGACGAGAGGACTCTAGACGCCCGTTTCATGATGACGCAAATGTTGACTAACCACATGGCATGAAATCCCTGCCCCCACGCTGTACAATGAAGACTATTTATAGAGCAGTTAAATTGAAGCCGCAAGGTTCTTGAAAGTGGTAAAACGGGTCAACGCTAGTGCCCTCGGGAATATACGGGGCATGTCAAGAGGTGATCTTACATATAAAGGATTTATAGTGAAAAACTTTGTTTTTACGGGTTAATTTTTTTTGAGATGCAGCCGTCTAATGTTAACTCCAAGTATTTAGGGTATGGCTTGTTTTTGACATGGTTTCCACAGAAAGTCACTTCCAACTGCACACTTATGTAGTGGTTATTTGTATAGTAGATTGAGACAGTTTTGGATAGAGAGAAAACTACATTGCCACAGTAACTTCTGGCAGGTCAAAAGCTGGCTTTTTAGATGGGAAGGTGTGGCTTGACTGTAGGCACAATGCGTGTGAGTGGCGTGTGCTCCATAATTTGTATGCTGTCGATTGATTGTACCTTGAGGTCTGAGATTCTGGTTTTACCAGTTTCAGCAGAGCAACGACTCTTGCTCCCTGCCATGGTCTGGAGATTGTATCACTTAAAATAACAGTGGTAAAACATAACTGATAGCCAGTTTTAGCCAAGATGTCCCAAGTTCTTGACGAATTTGGGATACATGTTTTTGTTTGCAGCAATTTAGGCTATGGTGGCACATAGTGCATCAATAATCTCTTTTCTCGAGTATGGACGGGAGAATGTGGAGCTTGTTGGTAGGCTCTTTTGGGTTGTGGTGAGATCTTTGTGTTCATCTTGTTTATGCTGTGTGTTTATTGTGGCTTTTGTTCAGGCGAGGTGGTGAGTCAATGTTGTTAGCGGTGACTTGGGACTCCTTTTTATAGGTAGTATGCTGGTGCCAAGATGGTGAAGGAGATTTCACGCTTTGTGGCTGGAATGTGCAAAGTTAATCTCCTCAATGTTTCTCACCCTCACTGTTATCAGGCTAGATTTAGTGTCTCTAATAGCGCTGATGCCTTTGCTGTATCACCAGTTCTTTTAAACTGCTTTCAGGAGTGCATTGTTTTCCAGATCCCAGCTTAGAGTGTCTGGGGATGTTGTTGGTGGCTGCTGAGATGATGGCAGCCGACAAAATGTTGTGGTTATTTGGAACTGAAACGATGGTTTGTGGCGTGATTTATGTTTTGGCCTGAAAGGCTGACTAGTTAGTTTTTCGGAAGTTAAAGCAGGCAACTGGTTTGGATGTGATCATCTACATTTGAATCCTCGTGTGGATAACTGCTGGTCATTGTTGGCATCTAAGGAATATTCTTACGATGTTCTTCATTCTGAAGAGTGAAAGGCTATGGTGACCTTCGAAACAAAGTAGAGGTCTCAGTTGTATGCCCGTTTCCATCGAGCAGAGTGTAAACTGCCTCTCTATTTATGGTCCAAAAGCAAATCGTTTATGGATGACCAGTCCATGAGTTGATCTCTTGCTTCATTGTTTCTGACTAGTCCAATTGCAGAGGATGACTGATAAAGTCATGTATACCATTGAATGGGCTGCATAGGGAATACTTTGAGTTGGCCAAAAACTCTTCAGCGATTTGACATGTTGGTGACTAACACCTGGCCGCTTCTGATGGTGTTTGGCAATGTTTTTTTAGTGATGACTCTTTCTGTCACCTCATAGACTGCAAGCGGTGGCTTGATGTAAGTGGAAATGGTTGATGTCATATCCGTGGATTTTATAGCTTGTGAGTCGGTTGTCCTCGGCATGGGTTTCCTGGATCACAACAACTTCAATGTCTTCATGATGTAACACTTGGCCAGCACATGACACTTTGTATGCGAAAGACTTCCATGTTTAGACGATACACTCATAATGCAAGTCCCACTTCTCTGGCTGGTCTTTTGACCCTGAATAGGACCGTTTTTCGGATGGGATTTACACATTTTAACATGAATATATAATTGATTTCTAAAAAGACTGAGGTGATGGAATTAGTCGTGCAATATTATACGTAACAAGTGGGAAGTGTAAAGGCTACCATCTCCAACCCAGTAGCATGATGCACATTAGAGAAATTATATTGACTATTAAAGAAAAGTGCATGGGTTTGTACAGGACATGGCATAGCTAGATGAGATGAAGTCCAGGCCGCAAATCAAAACATATCCTGGAGTGACAGCCAAAGAAGGGAGTGCTTTCGAGAGTACATCCGCTGAGGAAATTTAGTGATAACATTAGTTTGTGTGTGGGTGTGAGGTGGATTGCTACATCACAACACTGTGGTGGTTGTGAGGAATGCCATTGGGGGAAGACTGATTCCATTTGCCTGTTTCCCTCAAGGCACTCATAGCTGCCACATCAGCCAATGGGGGCTTTGGATGGGTGCAACGGGCTGATAACCCGTCCATCTTCAATAAACTTACTAGAAAATCACCTTTGAAATACTAAAATAAGCTTGTGATGGAGGCCTCAGGGGTCATGCGTCTATGACATATTTTGGCCAAAGGGGACTGAAGCCACACCTTCGTGGTTTCTCCATAAATGTTTAAACACTCACTGTGGAGGTGAGGCTGCCACTCCTCTCTTGGGACCTGGACTGGTACCACCTGGATCTCTGTTGTATCCAGGAGGTCCAGTGGACTGGTTCTGACTCAGTCACTATGACGGGTGGAAAGTCCTCTACTCAGAGCAGGAATCTTCCAAACAACAGGGAGTGGCTCGTCTTTTGAACAAAATCATAAAGGGGGTTTGGGAGGATGGCAATGAGGTGTGGGAAGCTATGTCCCAGGCTACTATAGGTTAGTCCCCCCAATCAATCTGAAGTGAGGAATGATGGTGGTGGCGACTTACACACCAACTTAAGATGAATATCAGTAGAGGGTTCAAAGAAAATTGCAAAAAACTACAACATTTCGATCGCAAGATAAGCGGCCATTATCAGGAAAAGGGGGTTAGCTTCTAAAGGCAAACTGTTTATAAAGGTTTGATATGGGCGTAGCCCAAATGTCAGCAGCATGGGCGGGGCAGCCAATGTTAATGTAGGTGGTGGGCGGCGACCGCGACAGTGGTGGGTTTTCCACCAATTAAAGGGGAGTATTTGCATGCAACTATTATAAAACTAATAGATCTTTTAACAAACTTCGAAACAAGAAGGCTCATCTGCATATTAACATAGCCACCTCAGCGTGATTGCCATGGAGGCTGCTCACTGATCTTACATTAACATGCAAATTTTTACCTGGCAGCCCTTTAATTGGTGGAAAACCCACCACCATCACGGGCGCCTCCCACCACTTAGATTAACAATAACTGCCCCGCCCATGCTGCTGACATTTGGGCTACGCCCATTTCAAGCCTTCATAAACAGTTTGCCTTCTTTAGAAGCTAACCCCTTTTTCCTGATGACGACCGCTTGTGTTGCGACCGAAAGAGTCGTAGTTTTTTGTTATTTTCTTTGAACCTATCTATATGACTTTACCGAAATACCCAAAGAATATGAATTCCTGCAGTCATGAAAGCTTTTAGTCAAGATTTTTCAGTGGAGAGATGCAGGCAAGGCCGATAAGTCAGATGCCTTGTATGACCTGTCACAGGTGTGAGCTAAAGTGGCCCCTTGAGATAAAGTAATCTTATTGAGTGACTTTAATGTCCGAGCGGGTCATGATACTGGAACCCGGGCTGGAGTGGTTTAAAGGTATGGGCCAGATCAGCTCAATAATACTGGTAGAAGGCTGCTAAGACTTCTGTGCAGTCCATTTGCTTGTAATTACCACCACACTGTTGCAGTATTGGTGGATCCACACAGTATAGATGCACGCCTGGTCCAAGCAACAAAATCTGTGTGGACTATATCGTGACAGAACACCGGATGCAGGCCCTACCATGGAGCTAGTCTGCCCACTGATTATCGGCTTATCATCTGTAAAATGTGCCTTTGAAAACTGTAAGCAAGAATCTCATCATCGCTTGCAGCTGGGGTTGGCACCGTCTGCCATCCTGATGCTGAGGGGAAATGAGTGAGTTTCATTACAACAGTCGGGACCACTGGACAGGTTCCACAGGATTGGATGGATGCCCTTTAATAACGGGGACCACACAAATTGTAACAGCTACAGGGGCATGTGTCTCTTCAGTGTGCATGGAAAAGTCCTGGAGGATCATCGAACATCGCCTTACCAGGCATGCTGAGGAGAGGCTTGCGGAGCCCCAGTGTATTTTCAGGCCAGGGTGGGCCTGCACAGACACTATGTTTGAACAGGACCGTCATCAGTTCTCTTGTGTTATTATTTTGAATATATCTATGTGACTTTACCAAAAGACCCAAATAATATTAATTCCTGCAGTTACGGAAGCTTTAAGTCAGGACCTATAACGCTGCTTATTTATCTGGTCAAGGCCTATAATACCATAAATAGGCCATGGCTCTAGGTTGTTCTTCATGCTTTCGGAGTCGCAGACTGCTCACAGTAATTATCGCCCTTCATGATGGTGGGTATGCCTGGGTGAAGCTATGTTGCTGGGAGCTACAGCCATTCCCTGTTCACATTGGGGTGCTACAGGGATGTCTTCTGGTTGCTACATAATTTAAGAACAATTTGACCACTTACTTCTATATAGATACAGTGGGAGGCTGATCGACGAACGGGTGCAGTCGAGGGATGGCTCAATATTGGTCAACCATGTTATGTATGCAGATGATCTGGTGATTGCTGCTGACTACAAAAAAGGAATTGAACCTCGAGCATGCTACTAAGAGGTGGGGCCCCACCAAATCACGTGGAAAACCTGGGATCCATCACCTGGTGCTGAGTTTGAAGGTACGAAATCTCCTTCTCATGGTTTTCTTGTGCCTCCTTCATGGTCTTTAGCTCCAGTGCCATTCTCGCTTCCTTCTGCTTGAACTCTGTAAAATGATGAAACGACATTTATTTACACACCTCCACCCAACGTTAATGCATTCTAATATTGACAGCGTTTTTGAATTAGCTACGTTTGCCTGTTCATTGGTAGTGCTCCACATAATGTTGAGCACAGTAAAGTGTAGAGTCTGGCTGTTGATAGAGGCAGAGGAAGGTAGGCATGAGGTGCCACTTTAGAGAGGATTTTCCTTCAGGATTTCGAGAATCTGTTTTGGAACAGCCAGCACTCGATTGAAGATCCTCCCAACATACTTTTTGTCAAGTCACACTGCTAGGCTCCCATTGTTTGAGAGGCCAATCTGAAAGTTTTTAATTAAGTCTGGCTCTAGCCAGACTCACTATGACAAACAAGCAAGCCCATGAGAGTATATGAGGGCATGTGCAGGGCCATTGGGGGAGGGATGACGCAAGCTTACAATACCCCTGGAGAGCAGACTGTGTTGCTGCATGTGTAGTGGTGGTATTGACGTGCGCCGACAGTGATGGATCACGGGGCGCGGGGTTGGGCACGCGATGTGGGCGTGGCATGGACGCGCGCGCCGGTGGTAAGGCGCGCTCACACAAGCTGGGAAAAGAGGATCGTAGCGAGTGCGCAGTGATTGGTCAGATAAGTGGGTGCTCTCAGCGACGTCAGCAGGAGGGGTATAAAGGGAGACGCGCGAGAGCACTCGTGGTCAGTGTTAACCAGTTGAAGACCGAAGACGGGGTGGAGGAGGTAGTGGCCCGAGACCCCTAGTCCCGCCGTCCTTGTGAGGACCGGGGCCCTGTGTGGCTCGGAGCCGAGACTGGGGGACCCGTAGTCCGACGCCCGTGTGGGTCGGGACGGTGGTACCCAGAGCCGAGACGGGCACCCCCGGCTGGGTGTGTCCCGGAAGGCTACGGGGCGCAAGAGCCCGTGTCAGTATAGCTGAGTGGGTGTTTGTCACCCGTGTAGCTGAGTGGGTGTTAGTCACCCGTGTAGCTGAGTGGGTGTGAGTCACCCGAGTAGCTAAGTGGGTGTCAGTCACCCGTGCAACGAAGTGGGTGTTAGTCACCCGTGTAGCTGAGTGGGTGTGAGTCACCCGAGTAACTAAGTGGGTGTCAGTCACCCGTGCAACGAAGTGGGTGTTAGTCACCCGTGTAGCTGAGTGGGTGTGAGTCACCCGAGTAACTAAGTGGGTGTCAGTCACCCGTGCGACGAAGTGGGTGTTAGTCACCCGTGTAGCTGAGTGGGTGTGAGTCACCTGAGTAGCTAAGTGGGTGTTAGTCACCCGTGCAACGAAGTGGGTGTGAGTCACCCGAGTAGCTAAGTGGGTGTTAGTCACCCGTGCAACGAAGTGGGTGTTAGTCATCCGTGTAACTACAAGTTGGTGAAAATAAAGAGTGTGCTACCCGTCAAGACGTCTCCCGCCGAGTTACTACTTTACAACTGGTGTCAGAAGTAAACCTGTCTTCAAGAAAAATGGACACAAGGAAGACTTCGCGTACCCACGTGCAAGATCGGGGAGACGACGGCGTACCGGAGACACCAACCTCGGGAGGAGAGGACGAGGAGTTGCCGCCGATACAGCACTTCGCGGAAATGGCCGATGCTCCGCTTGCCTCCGACACCAGCCTGCAGGACGCACACTCCCGCCTGGCGGAGTTGCTGCTCGCCGCCGCTGCGATTTTGGCGGAAATCTCCGTTCCAGCGGGCGGAGGGACGGCTGCGGGGTTGGAGGAGGCGGCGCGGCTGGAGGGATCCCGCCAGACGGCGTTTCGCGCCAAAAGTTTTGGAGTTCGCGCCATTTTTGAGGGCCCGCCACCGCTTGGCGGGAAGCGGGGACACCACATGGCCAGAGATCTCCACACAGCGCAGCCCGCGTCATCGGCGCGCGCCGGAGATTTCCATTATGCGCCTGCAGACGGAGCCGACATCTTCTACAACCACAGCGGCGCGCGGGAAAATCGTTCCAACGACGACGACGGCGATCGAGTCCTCCAGCAACGATTGCCCGCGCTGTCGGTGTTCAAGGCGGACGGGGGCGACTGGGGAGCCTTCCAGCGACGGTTCGTCGCGCATCAAGAAATGTCGGGGTGGTCCGACACCACTGCCCTGCGCGCGCTGCCAGCGATGCTCGACGACGACGCGCTTGCAGCCTTCACATCGGCCCCGAAGTCGTCCCGCTCAACGCTCCAGGCCGTGCTACACCTGATGGCCAAGGTGTTCGGGCCACCCTCGACCTGTCGCCACCAGTTCTACGATCGGCGGAAGGTGGTTGGAGAAACAACGCTCGCCTATCGCACGGCGCTGCTCGCCCTGGCAGACTCAGCTTTTCCCCGTATGGACAAGGAGGGGAAGGACGCCATGGTGACGGAGCAGCTGTTGGCGTTGGCTCACGGATTGGGAGTTCCCATAAATACGGCGGACGAGATGGACATTTGCTCTCTGGGGATTGCCACAAGTATTCACGCTTACGAAGTCCTAAAGCGAAAGCCGACGGTCGTCTGCGCATCAGTGGGGAACGGGGCACCGGCCGCCACGATCGTCGGCCCTCAGCCTGCTGTGCCTCGGGAGGAGGCCTTCGCTGGTTCAAGGCCGGGGGAGTGGAGAACGGGAGGTCGTTCGCCCACACGCTCTTCCCGCAAGCTGGAGCAACCGAAACCTACGACGTCCCTCGTCGTCTGCTACAACTGCGGCCTTCGGGGCCACGTCGCGTCCGGGTGCCGGGCCCCACGTCAACGCACCGCGGGACCACGTCCGGACGACGACCAGGGCCTCAAGACATCCCAGCTGAACCCGGCAAGTCGCGGCACCTCACACGTTCGGTCCACACGCACGGCACAGTCGGGTCGCCGCTTAGCGGTGGGGGGACCGTGTATGGGCACCGGGGGTTCGGTTCGGCGAGAGGGGTCCGCGTACGGTCCGAAGGCAGTCGAGTGGTCCGAATTGGCCCACAGGATTGTGGCTGCGTCGGCCGGGTCATCCGTGGTAACGGGGTACATTGACGGGGTTGAGGTCCGGGTGCTCGTGGACACGGGTGCGTCGGCCACTATTATTTCGGACCTTATTTATAATATTTTTCCCGTCCAATGTCGACCCCTTCTGCCGGTGGACGTACCATTTTACGCGGCGAACGGGGGATCTTTGGGAATCATCGGCCAGATTCGGGCGAATATTTGTATTGGCGACATTAAATTGGCGGGTCCTATTTTTGTATCATCATCGTTGGCCGTTCCTTGTTTACTAGGCACGGACTTTCGGTCTAAAATGCCCATCAAAATTCTTATAGACCAGGCCTGCATTGAGCTTCCGTGGGGTCGGCGGGTTGAGTTTTTGAAGAGTCCAAATAAGATACGCACGGCTTGTGCGACGGTGCAGGCGCTGGCAACCCGGACTGTACGGGTGCCCCCGGGATCGCAAATGTTGGTACCCCTTCGGTTGAGAAAACCCCTTGGGGCGGATGTGGGGGCACAGGGAGTTCTATTGGGGCCGTCTAACAGGGCTAAAGGGGACCTCGACTTAGCGGTGGCCCAGACCATGGTGAGGGGGGACAGTGAGCCGTTCGTTATGGTCCTGAATACGGGGTCGCGGCCGGCCGTGATCACACAGGGAACGGTGCTGGCTCACGCCGCGCCGCTACCCGTCGAGGAACAGCTCGTTGCTCACGCCGATTCAAATGTCGATATGCATCCCCAAGGTGAGGAGGGGACGGAGTGGTTGGACTCGTTGTGTGCCGGGTCCAGTACCTTGTCCAGTGTGCAGTTGGGTGCATTGAGGGGCTTGCTGCTCGAGTTCGCTGACGTGTTTAGCAGGCACAAGTACGACATTGGCTGCACAGACCTGTTGCGCCACCACATAGAGACTGGGGACGCGGCCCCTATTCGACAGAATCCCTTCCGGCTCAGTCCAGCCGAGAAGGAGCATGTGCAGTCGGCAGTAAATGACATGTTGGCGGTCGACATCATTGCGCCCTCTTCCAGTCCGTGGGGTGCTCCTATCGTCTTGGTTAAAAAACAGGATGGATCCCTGCGGTTCTGTGTCGATTTCCGCCGCCTAAACAAAATATCAATGGCCGATGCGTATCCGCTCCCCAGGATGGATGAGTCGCTGGATGCCTTGGCAGGAGCACAGTTTTTTTCGACGCTCGATTTGCTTTCGGGATTTTGGCAATTGCCCCTCGATGACGAATCAAAACCAAAAACCGCTTTCCGGACACCGGGAGGCCTATTTCAGTTCAACCGATTGCCCATGGGTTTACATTCCGCTCCTGCCACGTTCCAGAGGCTCATGGAATTGGTTTTGTCAGGCCTCCAATGGGACACCTGTTTGATTTACCTCGATGATATCATCGTTTTCAGCCGAACTTTTGAGGAGCACCTCCAGCGACTGAGAGCAGTGTTTCTCAGGATGCGTTCCGTGAAGCTAAAGTTTAAACCGGCTAAATGTTTTCTGCTTCGGGAATCGGTCAGGTATTTGGGCCATATCGTTAGCCGTTCGGGGATCTCGACGGACCCTGCTAAGACGCAATGCGTCGGCTCATGGCCAACACCGACCTCTGTTACTGAAGTCCGCAGCTTCATAGGATTTGCCTCCTATTACCGTCGTTTTGTCAAGCAGTTTGCCACCATAGCCAGGCCCCTGCACGCTTTGACGGCTAAAGGGGTGCGGTTTCACTGGGGGCCGGAGGAGGAGGCCGCGTTCTGCTCCCTTCGTGACGCCTTGGTGCAGGCTCCCCCCTTGTGTTACCCCGATTTCACGCAACCGTTTGTGCTCGACACGGATGCCAGTAACACGGGTATCGGGGGAGTGCTCTCACAGGTGGTCGGGGGGGTCGAACGGGTGGTCGCCTACGGTAGCAGGGTTCTGTCCCCCGCGGAACAACGCTACTGCGTGACACGGCGTGAATTGCTGGCGATTGTGTTTTTTATACAGCAATTCAGGCCGTATCTGTATGGCCGTCACTTTACGGTTCGCACGGACCATGCGGCTCTCCAATACGCTATGCGGGTGGTGCAGCCATCCGGCCAATTGTCCCGATGGTTGGAGGTCCTTCAGGACTACCAATTCACGACGATTTACCGCAAGGGGTTGCGCCACTCGAATGCGGATGCATTGTCACGGTTGCCGACGCGTACGGAATGCGCATGTCAGTTGGGATCGGCGCGATGTAAACCCTCTGTCGCTGTCCCCGCGGAAGTGGTGCTAGCCGCCACCGATACTACGGGGGTCGACGCCCCCACGGGGAGGGACTCGCTGTTAGCATTGCCTCTCATCGAGTGGGGCCGTCTGCAAATGGCCGACAGCTCCCTACTCGCGCTACGTCGGAAGGTTGACGTTCCCGAGGGCGGGGAAACGCGGGTCGGTTCCTGGGTGTGCAGACAGGGCCTCTTGATGAAGTGGGACTCCATGTCCCGGCGTCACATGCTTGTGGTGCCGGTTGCTGTACGGGGTAAGGTCGTCCTGGCTGCCCATGAACGACTCATGCATCTGGGGTTTCACAAAATGCTCGCCCTCATTCAGCGAGACTACTATTGGCCGGGGATGGGCAACGACGTGGCGAACATTCTTAAGGGGTGTGTAGGGTGCGCTAAAAGAAAACCGCCACCAATAGCGGCTAATCCACCGCTGCAATCCATTCAAGTTTCGCGCACGAACGAATTGGTCGCGCTAGACATCTTGGGGCCCTTTCCCACTACACCTCGGGGAAATAAGTTCCTGCTGGTTGGCGTAGAGTACTTCACCCGCTGGCCCATGGCGTGGCCACTCGCCAACCAGTCGGCTGCGGCAGTGGCGGACGCCTTTGTCCAAGGTTACGTTTTGGACAAAGGCGCCCCCGAACGCTTGCTGACGGATCAGGGGAAAAACTTTTCGAGTATTTTGTTGCGCGAGGTGTGCGACCTGTTGGGTACAAAGAAAGTACGTACCTCCCCGTACCACCCGCAGACTGACGGTATGGTTGAACGTCTGAACAGGACGATTACGTCTATGCTGTGCCAACAGGTATGCGACGACCAGGTGGATTGGGACTTACAGGTACCGGGGGTACTAGCGGCCTATCGGATGGCACCCCATGCGGCGACGGGGTTTTCTCCATTTTTTCTGATGTATGGGCGGGAGGCTGATCCGGCCATGGACGTCCAACTGGGGATTTCACAGCCACGTGCAAAATCTAAATTGGCAGACCATATTAAGTTTAACATCGCCAAATTGGCTGAGGCGCGTGAGGCTGCGAGATTGAATTCACGCTCTCGGCAGATCGCGAACGAGCGATTGCATGAACGGAAGGTGCATACGCACAATTGGGAACCGGGCGATAAGGCCTGGCTGCATTGTCCACACGCACCGTTGGCTACGTCCCCCAAACTGTTGAGACCATGGAGGGGACCGGTGGAAATTGTGCGGGTTGCACGACCCCAGAGTATACAGATTAAATGGGGAAAACGCCGTTGGTACGTGCACCCCTCCCGACTGAAACCCTACGCGGCGCCGCGTGACCCCGGGTTGTGCCGTGACGACCGAGCGTGTGATGTGACCGTCGACTTGGGGAGGGATGTGTCGCAGGCTGATCCTCACGTGTCTCCACCTGACCCACCCCCAGGTGTCTCGGACCTGACGGCTGTTGACCGTCGGGAACCGGAACCCCGCGGCTCACGCGGAGCCCCGATGCCTGGCCCATGCCTTCCTGAACTGCCGGCGCCGCCGGATGGCCAACTGCGTCCTGTGCCGTACGACGGTCCGGCAAGGCGGACTCGGGCAAGGACGCAACACTTTTCATGAAAAAAAAAAAAAAAATTTTTTTTTCTTTTTTTATTAAAGCCCGACCTCGTTGCCGGCTTTCCCCTCTGCCGGGGTAATGTCCCGTTCAAGGGACGCTCGGACACATTGGGACGCTGCATGAGTCGGAGAGAAAAGAAGAGAAAATGAATAAAGAAATTTTTTTTTATTGTTATTCTTTCCGCATACACAGTATCGTTGCCACTCGCCGGATTGTGCATATTGTTCTTGTTGTGGGTGGGGCGGTTGCTGGGTTTTGCGGATTGCGGTGTTCATGTTGTGTTGTTAGGGTTTTGTTGTTATGTTACGGGGCACACATAGGGGTGAAGGGGTGTTGTATATTTTATTAGCAGCCGGGTCGGCTGCGAGCTATGTGGTAGGGGGTGATGTAGTGGTGGTATTGACGTGCGCCGACAGTGATGGATCACGGGGCGCGGGGTTGGGCACGCGATGTGGGCGTGGCATGGACGCGCGCGCCGGTGGTAAGGCGCGCTCACACAAGCTGGGAAAAGAGGATCGTAGCGAGTGCGCAGTGATTGGTCAGATAAGTGGGTGCTCTCAGCGACGTCCGCAGGAGGGGTATAAAGGGAGACGCGCGAGAGCACTCGTGGTCAGTGTTAACCAGTTGAAGACCGAAGACGGGGTGGAGGAGGTAGTGGCCCGAGACCCCTAGTCCCGCCGTCCTTGTGAGGACCGGGGCCCTGTGTGGCTCGGAGCCGAGACTGGGGGACCCGTAGTCCGACGCCCGTGTGGGTCGGGACGGTGGTACCCAGAGCCGAGACGGGCACCCCCGGCTGGGTGTGTCCCGGAAGGCTACGGGGCGCAAGAGCCCGTGTCAGTATAGCTGAGTGGGTGTTTGTCACCCGTGTAGCTGAGTGGGTGTTAGTCACCCGTGTAGCTGAGTGGGTGTGAGTCACCCGAGTAGCTAAGTGGGTGTCAGTCACCCGTGCAACGAAGTGGGTGTTAGTCACCCGTGTAGCTGAGTGGGTGTGAGTCACCCGAGTAACTAAGTGGGTGTCAGTCACCCGTGCAACGAAGTGGGTGTTAGTCACCCGTGTAGCTGAGTGGGTGTGAGTCACCCGAGTAACTAAGTGGGTGTCAGTCACCCGTGCGACGAAGTGGGTGTTAGTCACCCGTGTAGCTGAGTGGGTGTGAGTCACCCGAGTAGCTAAGTGGGTGTTAGTCACCCGTGCAACGAAGTGGGTGTGAGTCACCCGAGTAGCTAAGTGGGTGTTAGTCACCCGTGCAACGAAGTGGGTGTTAGTCATCCGTGTAACTACAAGTTGGTGAAAATAAAGAGTGTGCTACCCGTCAAGACGTCTCCCGCCGAGTTACTACTTTACACATGCAACCACGTGGGAGAAGAAACTGGGCTACACGCCCAGAGCCAAAACCGTATAATTAATAATGTCAAAGGAAATCACTGGGTGTGTTTAAGTCAATGTGGGCACTGAGTGTGCCTGTGTCAGAGGCAGTATAGGGTGTGCGCATATAGAGGGAATCCCTACAAAACTCTCCAATACCATGTGTTATAAGGTCTGTGGAACTCTTAATACATATTTAAAACTGCAAGAGCGACTCTGGCAGCATGTGAGAAAGATGTGTGGGGTTGTCACGAGATCGACTTATCACTAGGATGACGCTACGCTTCTATAATGAGGGTAGCGGGGGGGGGGGGGTCATGATAACTTTAATACAAATTTCAAGATTAATAAAAGTATGTTTAAAGTTATGTTACTATTAGGGGCTCATGCAATTAAAATATATATATCAGAGGTACCCAAAACTTAAGATAAAACCTACAGAGCACAGCTGCTAACGTAAGCTCCTTATCGTCTCATCGCAGCCTTCTTGCGTGCCCAATGAAAGTGCTACCACTTTCATCGCTAATTATATATTTCCGAGGATAACACACATTGAAATGCACAACAGAATCCATGTATATCCATGAATATGTATCGTTACTGAGTGAAGAGTCATTGCTGGCATCTTGGCTTAACCTGATACCCACGTCTATTTGTGATTCTCGATTAAAGGGCCACTTCTTACCCATGTTCTGCTGTTGAACGCTGGTCAACGTCTTGTCCACCATTAGGATCGCCTTACCACTCTCCATATTCTGCTCCAGAAATTCCTTGTACATATTCGTCATCTGCGAAGGTGGAAAAGGTGAAGTATCCAGCATTTTAATTACATCAACACGAGGTTCCACAAGGTCTAAAGAAGCCTGAAGCACATCGTGCGAATCTGATGCCTGGCAAGGCTTCATGAAACAAGCTGCTGCACAATCTGCGGATATTTATTGGCTGCTCCTACTGCTGCTGCACAACTGGCATGTAGAGAGTCGCAATCTGCAAATTTTAAATCAGGACTCACTGGTAACACCATTCTGTTCCATTACCACTCCTAATTCGCTGATTGCCTTTGTGGGCAAAATAGACCGGGTAGAAGGAGGTAACTTAGACAAAACAACTGGTGAAAATCAGACACGCAGTCACACCCAAATACAAATTAGATTATGAACTGTAATTGAGGTCGTAAAACCTACAATCTAAGGTTCAATGTCTTGCTCACGTCACTGATTACAGAAGGGTCTGCACAATAGGGAGCTCCTAGAGAGGGTATTTTTGACTTACACTTCGATACTGGTCAGAAATCTTGGAATTTATGGGAGTACTCATCCTGAACTGCACCACACACAACCTGCTGTTTGACTAACTGTGGCGTACCTGTTAATACTGCTGGGTGGACAGAGGCATTAGGTGTGAACTTAAGAATATTGAATCAAACCAGTGACCTTAATTTTCTGGAAAACTTCAATGTTATGCATTATGTAAAATTAGTGGAGTTTAGATTTTCCACAGGCATTGAGTCATGTGAAAGGGCATTGTATAATGTGGAGAGAGAGACAGACAGACAGAAAAAATTAAACGTTTTATTTTACCAGGTAAGGCCCACTGAGCTATATATCTCTTTTTTCGAAACGACTTGGCCAACAATGATAGCTCAATGAAGTGGCTTATCATGAGGAAATGTATATCAGCCAAATACTCTAAATGCATGTTACCAGGTAGCTAACATCTCACCACCACGGCGCACAAAATACTATGGACAGAGTTTGTCTCATTACAATGCTTTATTGTTACGCTCGTGATTGCACTTCAGGTCGATATCAAACGATTCTGTATTTTCAAAACCATCCTGAATGAGTTTTCTTTACTCAATGGATTCGTAAGGGGTCATATAGAAGAACATAGACGACACTTCAGAAGTGGGATGAACTCACAGCCTATGGAGACGCTGACTAAATATGTGTCTAGTAAAAAACACGTATAGGACAGGTGTCCATGCTGTAGACTATGTGCTCTCTCTTGGCGGCAGATTAATCGTTTCTGTGCTTCACAGATACTACACCATTCCTGCACTAGCACCATAGGCTACATGCAGTCCACTTCCTGCACCACTACAAATGCATGGCCACCATCTTGAGAAATATATTGCATGCCGACTGGAGATAATTGTGGTATGAGTGACTTCTAAATGCTCCGACTACATTGAGCTCTTACAGCATCGTCATAATGAACCTGAGGAGGGTAAAGTACTGAAACGATTTGAACCATGACTCAATGTCATAAGGGGTTGAATTCGGAGAATCACAACATAGCCAGACTGGGACGTCTCTGGATACATTGGCAGTGTCTTAAGGCCACCGACAAACGCGACAGGATGATGATGGGCCGATGATGATCACATTTGTACTCTGGCGCCAAGATAGTGAAGGAAATTCCAAGCTTTGTGGCTGGAGTGTCCAAAGTTAATCTCCTCAACTGTTTCTTGTCATTGCTGTGGTCTGTCCGAATTTAGAGCCTCTAATAGTTCCGATGCCTTTGTATCATCGCCAATTCCTTTGAACATTTTCAGGAGTTCATCGCTCTCCAGATTCCAGCATGGAGTGTATTGCTTTCGGTAGCCTCTGGGGATGTTGTTGTTGGCTGTTTTGTTGGCGGTGACAAAAACGTTGTAGTTATGTAGTAAAAGATTGATGGTTTGGAGCGCAATTTCTGTTTCGGCCTGGAAGGCCGAGCAGTTTGTCTTCCGGAAGTTCCAGCGAGCAACTGGATTGTATGTGACTATTAGAGTTTGAAGCCCGATGTGGATTACTAATGGCCAGTATTGGCTTCTGGGAAACCGTCCTAGGATTTTCCTCATTGCAGAAAGCGGGAGGCCATGGTGATCTTTGGACACAAACAGAGGTCTAGATTCTACCCCCGTTTCCATCAAGCACAGTGGAAACTTCCTCTGTTCATCTCCAGAAACTCAAGCACACAGGCGAGAAGCCGTGCATACGTGACGAGTGCGGCAAGACGTTTCTTGTGCTCGGCCTACAAGTATTTTTTTCCGCTTGTGTGTTAAACTGGGTGTACCCTTGATATTTTAAAAATGGCAAATCTCCTGCTGTGTATCCTACTGCTATCCCTCCCGGCCATATCTAGTGCCACACTCAACTTTACCACCGGCAACCCTCGTTACTTGTCGTCCATACTTGTTGCTCAATATGCCACTACACCTGCTAATGAAACAGCTTATAGACATTTTTCGATTTAAAACTTTCGTGACTGCAGGGATTCATCTTCTTGGTTCTTTCGGTAAAGTCACGTAGAAGGGGAATAATAAAATAATAAAAATAAAACATAACAAAATACAATTCTCACGACGTTTCGGCCACAACGCAAGCAGCCGTCCTCAGGTGAAAAACAAGGCTGTTCGGACACTGTTTTTCCGACAGCCCTGTTCTTCACGTGAGGACGGCTGCTTGCGTTGTGGCCGAAACATCGTGAGTATTTTATTATGTTTTATGTATAATTATTTTATTATTTCCCTTCTACGTGACTTGACCGAAAAAACCAAGAAGCTTATAGACACTTCTACACTCCATCACTGTATCCTTTTAAACCCTATCTCTGTTCTATTACTTCACCAGCACTCCTTCCAAACTTCATTCTGCTCTTAAAAATATCGCCATCTGTGAGCTGCTGGTATTCGTCCCAGGTTCGCCGCTCTTCATCCTTTCACAGAAAATACCTGTGCAAACTATTAATTCTACTTTTCTTATTTCTGGGAGGTATTGATCTTCATCCTCGCCCAAATGTAAAGAACTCGTATAATTCTGTAGATTTTTCTGGCAGAAAAGGTGTTGGTGTTCTACACGCCATCATCAGAGGGCTTGTGATTAAATTAAGTCAACTAAAACTAGAAGTGGCAAATCTGGACCCGGACATGTTTTGCCTAACAGAAACATTTCTCACTCCTGCCGTAAATGACTTGCAGATTACGATTGACAACTACAACCTTTTTGGGCTTGACCGAGGGTCTAAAGGAGGTGGAATTGCCATCTATGTTCGTAATACCATTACATGTTCACCAGCTCACTCCTTGTTTAAAAAAATTTGCTTTGAAGGTCTGGCTCTCAGAATAACTCTCCCAAATAATCAACATATATTGGTAGTGTGCTGCTATAGACCGCCTAGTGGTAGGGATGTTGAAGCTGCGTCTGCACTGAGAGAGCTTCTTGGGGGCCTCCCTAAAGGTGAAATAGTTTTAGTGGGTGATCTAAATTGAAATTGGCTAAGCCTGCCGGCCGTGACCACTAATTTTGCAGATTAATTTAACCTATTTCAATTAATAAATGTCCCCACAAGATCCAACCTAAAAAACCCGGGACAGCCATCTCTGCTTGACGTCCTATTGACAAATGCCCCTCACAATTTCACACTGACTGGTGTTCTGGGTAATAACCTTAGTGATCACTCCTTCATATTTGGGTGAGATCATCAGCCAGACCCAAAGCCCCCCTAAATTGGTTGAGAAGCACTCCATGAGACACTTCAGCATACAGGCATTTACTTTGATGTGCTTCACTCGGATATTGACAAGATTTGTGATATCCCCAACCTGACTACGGCTTGAGAGACCTTCAGGTACACGTCTCTTCAAATTCTTAACAAACATGCTCCGTTGGTTAGATTTAAAATTAAAGGCAACCGCCCACCATGGTTTGATCCTTTGATTACTAAGCTCATGAAAACTAGGGACAAGGCTTGGGCATGTGCTCAGAAAAGTAATTTGGTCAATGACTGGCTAGAATACAGGATTTAAGGAATAGATGCGTCAAAAAAATACGGCATGCAAAACATGCTTACTTTTCCTCCATTCTCCTGGAATCACATGGCAATGCCAGGATCTTCTGGAAAACAATCAAATGTATCGAAAAGGCATCCAACACAGATAATCTGCCCGTTGCGCTTATCCGAAATGGGGAATATTTTTCAGAGCCCCAAAAAGTAGTTGACAATTTTAACCTTCATTTTTCTGAAGCTGGTGACCTATTTGATAATGTATTGGGAGTCACCCCTGCTCATGCAATTTCCTACACCGCTGTCCAAACATTGAACGAATTTAGTTTCCAGCCTATCCACGAAAGTAATGTTCTGAAACAACTGTCCTACCTCAAAGGGTCCTCCTCTACCGGAGCAGATAGTATTCCTGTCTTTGAATGCTAACTGTTGGTCACCTAATATACAAACATATAGCCCATATTTTCAACCTGTCCATCAAAGAAGCATCAGTAGCTCTAGAATGGAAACATTCTTATGTTTGTCCACTTCATAAAAGAGGCCCTAAAGATGATCAAAATAACTACCGAACGATCTTAATTTTGTCCCCGTTGACGAAAATTTTAGAAAAATTATTGAACTGCCAAATTAGCAGTTTCCTGTCCGACAACAATTTATTACAGTGGTACCTCGGTATACGTCGTCAATTCGTTCCAGAAGTTAGGAATTATACCGAAAATGACGTGTACCAAACGAATTTTTCCCATAAGAAATAAAGGGAAAGGAAATAATCCTTTCCAGAGTATAAAAAATTATGCTTTATATGGCATATTATACATTAATGGGGTTGTATCAAATAATTTAGACACTACTTATTACTAAAATGCATACATAAATTAAAATAAATGCATAAATAAATAAAATGAATTGAAATAAAAATAAAATTTAACGTCACTTTACCTTCCTGACAGGAGTTGATAGCCTACGAGGATGGTGGTGAGGAAGGGGAGGAGGAGATGCTATTTTTTGGAACGAGAGGAAGCTGAAATTCTGGGGTTTTTTTCTCTTTCTCTTTATTGTCTTTTTTTTTTACTTGGACCTGGTTGAGGCTCACCAGGTTTGAGTTTTACTGAAAACCTGTCCTTTGAAGTTTGATTTTGCCTTCTTCTCAGAATGTTCCTGAAGTGTGACATTGTTTGGTCATTCCACACAGTACTGTTACGGCTTGTTGGTTGAGGAGTGGCGCTTTGTTTCAGTTGTGAGCACCACATCTGCTGCATTAGACTCTCTGAATCACATTTACAGTAGCCTTGATAATAAGCAGTACTGTAGCAGTCTTATTCTTGACTTGTTCAAAGCCTTTGATACAGTGGACCACAACACCCTGCTTAGTAAACTAAGTTGCCTCCATTTCTCCAAACACGCAGTAAAAAGGTAAAAAAATTCCTCTCTTCTCGCACCCAAACTGTATTAACATATGGTTGGAGGTCAAACAGTGTTAAGATAACAAAAGGGGTTCCACAGGGTTCCATCCGTGGCCCCCTCTTGTTCGTTCTTTATGTCAATGACTTGGGCACTGACCTGGATCATTCCAGGGTAAATCTGTTTGCAAATTACACGATACTGATAACTGCTGGCCGCTCTCCAGATGACGTGATTGCTAAGCTTCAGGGTGATTTCAACAAACTACAACATCAGCTAGTTGCTTTTAAATTAGTCCTGAATACCTCCAAAACCAAGGTGCTATGCTTCTCACCAGGACTAAAGCAGGAAGTTATTTTTCCCCAATTATATTCCGTAAATAATCATCAAATAGAGCAAGTCAAGATCTATAAGTATCTTGGGGTCATCTTTGATTCAAAACTGAAATTTCAAGATCACATTGATTATATTGATAAAAAAATGAAAGTAAAAATTGGTTTTCTGTATCGACACAAGCACTGCTTCCCCCTATGTTCTGCTTGGAATTGATAAAAGCTACCGTACTGCCTCTACTTGATTACTGTGACATCGTATATAAATCATCCTCCAGTACTTTACTGAAGATGCTTGACTCAATTTATCACTCGGCCATAAGATTTGCATTGAACTGCCCATATAGGACCCACCACTGCGATCTCTACATTGGGTCAAACTTAACTTATCTTAAAGATCGACGGCTTGTGCATCAGATCTTATTTATTCACGATGTACTTACAAAAAAAATCAGCAGACTACCTGATGGATCTCCTCACTGTTTCGAAGAACAAATGTGACCTAAGGTCTTCGTTCATTTACCAGCTTCACATTCCTTATTGCCGTACAAATACTGGAGGAAGGGCTTTTTCTATTGATGCCCCCAGGGTCTGGAATGCTATCGCCAATAAACTGCAACTTGGATTACTACCTGTGAGATCTTCACTCAAAACTGCTCTAGAGTTCAAGTTCATTTATTAGGTATAGCCCTGTGAGCCAGTCGGCTCTTGAATCGGGTGCAACCGCAACAAACAAAAAAACTAAAACATGAACAAAAAACATTTTAAAGTGAATATGTGACTAAGTGCAAACAGAAAATCCAAGAAAAGAAAGCAAAATATTGTACACCCCGAGCTGCAACTGCTATTCAGAATGGCCTGAAATCAAATGTATCATTCCGAATGACCGCTGCAAAGTATGGTCTTGAGTTTTGATTATAGTGTGCTGATCATTAAAGGTGTATTAAAAATTTTAGATTCTGCTATTGGTACTACAGCTGTTATGGAGTGACTCATGCAGCCAACTATGGCTGCAAAGTTTGGTCGTACATGTTATGTATATCGTTTGTTGTTAAATTTGAATCACAGTTCCTATGATCACTATTACATGTTTGTTTTTGTAGTACAGACTTAGCCTGATAACTTTAATCTACATTGTCTTATGGTTGTTATTGTTTGACTTGCATCCCACTGGGATTTTTGCACACAGCGTTGAAATGCGGTGTTTTGTCTGGAAGACTTTGCTGTTTTTTCCAGGATTTGTCTGTTACGCGTAGTCATTTTAAGATGTTTCTTGGTCATGTTTTGTTGCGGTTTCACCCGAGTCAAGAGCCGCATGGCTCACAGGGTTATACCTAATAAATGAAACTGAAACTGAAAAGGTCATTCGCATATACAAACTTGGGTGATCCGTTTGACGGCATGTTGCTCAGGCAGGCATTAAAGAGCATTTAGTGCGAGTACTGATTTTGTGGCAATTCATTGAGGAACAAGGGTGAACTGGCTTTGTCTACCATAAAGACGGACAGTCGCCTATTTCTTAGCATCTTCCATATCAGGCACATTGATTAGAGGCAAGGAATGGTCATTGTGAGCTTCAACATCAAGCTCTTAATCTACACTGTGTCGTAGGCCGATGACAAGTCCACAAAGGCTGTACCAGTCTTGGATTTATTATAGAATCAGAAATCAATGTCCTTTGCAAGGACCAAAACTTGGTCACAGAAGCTGCATCAAGGCTGGAATCCTGCTTATTTCCCAGTGATCACTGACTCCACGAGCGGGCAAATTTTCTGGACGATGTTGCATTCCAGAAGTTTTTCACTCGTGTACAAGAGTACACACCTATAGCTTCCCGGATTGTAGGTTGGCTTGTCCCGTTTGGGTATTGTAATGACTATAGCCTGCTGCCATGCATTTGAGATGCATCCGGTTTTCATTATTTTTATGTACATGTTTGCCGGCCATTGGAGTCCCCTGGGGATTAAGTGATGGAGGGATTTTGGGGGGATACCATCTCTGCCAGCAGTCTTGCCTTCATTTCTGGCCAGACCCTCCTCACTTCATCTGTGCTAATGGTGATGGAATTTTGTAAATAAATTTAAGCCAATATCTGGTGTAATTGGCGATGAATTACTTGCTTTATGTTTGCGTTGAACGTTTTTCTTATGTTCTCCACTAGTTTGGAGGCTATTGACTTTGGAAATCTGACACTCAAAGTGCCCTACCAGAGCAAGCTCTGTAGCATTTCTATACTTGTGTAATGTAGCTCTCAGAGATACCGTCTTGTTCAATCATATGTATATTTATTATGAATAAAGTCCGCTGACTCACTGATAACTTAACGAGTAACTGCGAGTTACTATATACGCTTGAGTAACTTAAATAACTCTATTTTGAGACAACAGAACTCTAGCCTACCAAAACTACAAGATGCCCACTCCAGGATGATGAAGACGACCCGCTCCAAGGTGACGGCGGCGACGGCGATTCCCCACAACAACAGCTCAGCGCCCCGGTTCTTGCTGGCTCTCATCCCCCTCGCGACCCGGCCACGCCCCTATTCCCGAACTCTCGCTCACCGCACCAGGCCCTGTCTGTCTCTGCCCTTATTACAATTTACGACCTTTAGGTCCAGTGATTCCCCCCACGCGACCTTGTCAACCTTGTCCCATCAATCATTATTAGCAACCACTTAGGTCCCACATTACCCTAATGTGACCCTGTCTGTTCCTGTTACGTTAATTAGTAACCATGGTCACGGGGAGTGTACTGTCCCTTCATCATCCCGTACTATCCTTACACTGGGAAATCATAAATATTTCCAAACATTTTTATTGCAAAGATGTGGCCATAGTTCAACAAAGTTGCAAAGCCAAAGTGATTTTCTACCTAAATGAGCATGAAGGTAGTGCTCATCTTCTGCTTACAATGCCGAGTCAGTGGTTTAAATTACACATTCCTCTGAATCAAGTATATTATTTTGTTTTAATTACACATTCCTCTGAATCAAATATATTATTTTGGACTGAGATGGACTGAGACAGCCATCAAACATGATTTTGTTGAGAGACGCTTTCTATTTTGCTGAGCTACCTGGCCAGTTATGATTTATTGAGTGCAATTACAAGCATTGCTTCATTTATCTGCTTTCCTTGCTGGGTCCCTCTCATTCCCTCATTTGTAATTCTGCACTCTGGGACATTGATTTCATTATTGGTGCTTTATATATGTTGTTGTTGTGGCAAGTCACCTCGTCTCCGAGCCCTGTGGTCTCAAAGTAATCCTCTTCAATCTTCTTCATCATAGCCTGGTATTTCATGAAGCCCCCAGGCTGCATGAAGTCCTGGTACTGCTCATCTACCAGCCAGTACAGTTCTTTGAGTCGTATTCTGCACTTTTCCTGCGATTGCTGCTTGTTGTGTGTCACCAAACTCACACACATTTTCTCCATGTGCTCCTGTAATAATAACAACAACATGCATTGCCGGTGATGATCCTGGGCTGTTGCAATGGTGTAGCATAGTTAATATGGCCCCTGGTGCAAGGAATACAATGGGAGTTCCCTGACCAATTTCAATCAGCCTTTCAACCACCCACTCAATCTCTCACCCAGTCACATACTCATCCACCACTTTACTTGCTCACCCACCCACTTAGAATCCTAATAAAAATGTTTATTTCAAATGGAAGAATCCGATGAGATATGAAGCTTTTTTTTTACATATGTCCAATAGGGGCAGGTCAGAAAGTTACAACAAACAATATAAAAACCGATAGTGCAAAATATACGAAAGCTTTGCAAGTCACTCAATATACATAAAGAGTAAATAAAGTATATAAGTATGATACTCCTAGGTTTTTTCGGTAAAGTCACGTAGGTAAAAAAATAATAATAGACATAAAATAATAAATCACGACGTTTCGGAGGCAACACAAGTCTCCGTCATCAGGTGGGACGGTCACAGCTAGATTTACTGTCTCAAGTGATTATTATTTATTTGTACTATTTATTTTTCCTACGTGACTTTTTCCGAAAAAACCTAAGAGTATGAATCCTTGCAGTCACGAAAGCTTCAAATCTAGAATATATAAGTATGAATTGCATAAGTACATAAATGCCTGCCGATCGTTCAACACCAAATGCCATCTTGGGCAAGGTACTTAAATAAAAACAGCCCCAGAACACACCAAAGCAACACAGTCCATCAAATTTACTCAGCGACCTGCTCACTGTTCAATTATCTACTCACTGACTCAACCACTCACACACATACACATAATTACCCACTCACTCATACACTCACCCACCCATTAAATGTCTCACTTGCTCAATGACTTACTACAGCACTTAAACACGTAATCTTCAATTCTTAGGTTTAAATGATCATACGTTTTCACTTAGCTATTTAAACAAATGCATCTCAATACTGTGCAATTCACAAACACACAGGTGCATAATTTGAGACATTTCTAGAAAATTAATGAGTATTTCTACATGTGGGACAAAACCAGTGCTCCCAGAGAAAACCCACAGGTGTCAGGGGGCAAACCTCCATTCCATGAAGATAGGATAGATGAAACATAATCTTATATAGATGTGTAGCGTGGTTAAATACGTGGCACATACTGTTAGCCGAGGGCAACGAAGGATAGACACGTGCGCGTGTGCAACACGAGATTGCACGGGCAAACCACCATCTAATTTGGAAGAGTAGCTGCTGCAGACCAGGTCAGTCTGGGGTTGCACGCTGACACTGGAGGTGTTGCCAGGGAGACGTGTGATAAGGGGTGATTGATGGCGTGACAGGCGCTAGCCTGTCTGACCATAAAGAGACACAACGGAGGAGCTGGATAATTGGGAGGGGGATATAAAGACGTGCGTGAGAGCGGAGCAGGAGTTCGTGTTGCTGGGAACCAGAGAAAGAAGACGTTTCATCGCTGCCGCTCAAGCCGGGAATGGACCTCAACCCTCACGAGGCGCCGGGCGGGTGATGGTTGATCCCACCGCCCAGGACAGATGAGTGAGTGGGTCTTAGGGAGCATAGGTGAGGGCAGCGGTGGAACGGGGGTGTTGTGTGAGAAACTGCGTGCAAGCCTATGTGTGAGAGCTGTGTGCAAGCCTCTGTGTGAGCGCCGCTGTGTGCAAGCCTCTGTGTGAGCATCGCCGTGTGCAAGCCTATGTGTGAAAGCTACTGGGTGCAAGCCTCTGTGTGGGAGCTGTGGTGTGCAAGCCTCTGTGTGAGTGCCGCTGTGTGCAAGCCTCTGTGTGAGAGCTGCTGAGCACAAGCCTCTGTGTGAGAGCTACTGGGTGCAAGCCTCTGTGTGAGCGCCGCTGTGTGCAAGCCTCTGTGTGAGAGCTGCTGAGCATAAGCCTCAGTGTGAGAGCTACTGGGTGCAAGCCTCTGTGTGGGAGCTGTGGTGTGCGAAGCCTTGAGTGCGGAGCTGCTGAGAGCAAGAGCTGTTGTGTGCAACTTAGTGAGGTGTAACATAGATAGGGGGAATTGGTTAACAGAAATGACTGTATAGACAGTGATAGGAGTGCCTACAACTGGTGCAAGAATAGGCTAATAAAGTGTAAGTAGGTGACCTGTTACAACGTGTCAGTCTGAGTGATTTTACAAGACACTACAGATGTATCAAGTGCTTTAGTCCCATTCACTTCAATATTAATAAAATTGTACATACAATGATCGTGGTTATTACTAAAAAGTGGTGTAGTTATGGTGACAGGACAGATGAGAGTGGTTAAGGATGGGTAGTGCTAGGAGTAGTGATAGGCCAAGTGGTAGGCCTAGTGGCAGGCCTGGTTATAGCTGGGATAGCGGGAGTTAGGGAATGGAAGTAGGATGGGCTCGGGAGAAGACATGGGGGTTGTTTTACGGGAGAAACAGAAGGTGATTATGGTGAAGATGATTGCTCTGTGTGCTGCAGTGGTAGTTGGTTCCATTGAAGGGGAGCAAGAAGGGAACAGGAATGAGAGCGTGACCGGGCACAAGGCGAGGGAGGCACAGAGAGGGACAGTAGAGATTGGAAGTGTAGAGGACGGGATGGGGCAGAGTGAGATAATATAAGAGTATTGCACCTGCGACGGCGAAGGTAAGGGAGTTGCAAAACATGTGTGCGATCCACCAAACCTTGCCTCTGTAGTGCTGGATTATAGGCATGCATAGTCACCCAGTTCACCCATACTCACCAGCAACTCCTTCTCGTGCGTGTGCTCCCAATCGAGCACAGCGTGACAGTAGAAGAGATCCAGAGCTTTCTCCATACACTTCTCGTGGTGCTTGTAGAGCTGACAGGTTTTTAGTGGAAAGTCGACTAAGATGCTTTCCATCTCCTTCTGGTAGAGTTCCTTGGCATCCTCCACTACCTGCAGGTTGGCGAGCTGCACCACCTGTACCCGTGTGTTCTCGATGCAAACCATGTCACCAGAACGCTGAGCCTCAATGTACATCCCTGCAACCTGCAAGAACACTGATACATCATCATCATCAGCTGTGACTGATCCACTGCAGATGCCACCTCTCATGATCCTGTGATGTAAGCGATACCTGCATATGAGATGATCTCATTGCGCCATATCCTCGATGGACGTCCTCTCAGGCGCGTTCTATTTCTTGGCCGCTACCCCACTATTCTCGATCATCGGCCACCCTATCTTCTTGGGATTGTCCTAACCAAGCCCATTTACTTATGTTATGAACGTGATGTCACCTAACTTGTGTATGTTCTTCTGCATGTAATCCCAAGCACGTATCTCTCTATCCTTCTTTGTGCCCTTTTATGTTTTTGTCCAGGTCTTTGAACCGTATGTCACAGCCAGAAGTACACGTATTGACAATTTATTTCGTTAGGCACCTCCAATTAGCACATGTGTATGGTACAAAAGAAGTAAAAAAAATCAATGTTACTTTTGATTATCAAGGTCAATTTTCGAAAGGCACCGCAACCTGATCTCACCCGATTCTGTATTTGATTTTTTTAAAATCCTGGCCCGCTTTTAATAATTGGTATATAATATTCTGCTGTATTTTTAAGTCTTGTCCCTCTGATAGAAATCTTCGATTGTTTAGCGAATGCCCTTTATGACATTCTATATACTGAAAAACTCCTGTTTAATTATTAATTCAGATGTATTGCACTATGCTTATAATGCCTGACTTACAATCATACGGCCGTTTTGGGTCAAGCTTTTGCCCCGAATGATGATATATAATTTCGTTATTTTCATCATAATAAGACGCTAAAGATAATAACACACACCCCAAACCATGGGGTATTTTGAAAAAAAAATGTGCTTTAATAATCGTTTTCAACTACTATGTAGAGAAGCCTACTAAAAGATAATTATGAACATGCTTACTGTTTTAAAACAGGGAACAATATTATTTGAAATATTATTCTGAACAACTCATTAAAACAGAACTCACAAAAGACAAAATGTATTTTCCAAAATTATAAGGCACACCCTCAACTTTTGCTGCACGTGAAAATCGTGCTATGTTGTGGGAGAGGAGTTGCTACTTGAGAGACTGCTCTTTGTAGTGAATATGCAGCATTTGCACTGCTGTCTCAAGGTCACGAACAGAGATGAAAATTACTCATTCGACCAGGAAAACAGTGGACCTGATTGAGCATTTGTTTTCACGATGTTGTGGAAAACCAGCATTAGCTGGAAACCCAGCGCTATAGAGGCTTGGGTTGGTGGGTCATACTAATTCGTGAAAAGACATCCCTTGACTCGTACAAGAAGAATCGAGAAGCCATTAATTGTGGCAGCAAAACGCGAACTCTGTAGTAGGTTACAACTCAGTTCATGATTGCATTATCTCAGTACGTTTCCAATCCTAACCAATTAAACATCACCATTGCGCCGGTCTACGCACCCACCTGAACGTCTGAGGCAGCTGACATTGATGATTTTTTTTGGGAAACTTCAAGAAACAATCGACAGCACAGCAAAATGTGACATTCGTTGTCATGGGAGATTGGAATGCAAAAGCAGGTGACATGCGGACAACTTGGATAACTGGACAGCATGGCAGATGGAAAGAATAAACAGAGAAACTGTATAAGCAACATGAAAGCATGAACTAAATGTTTGATGCAGGAGAGTACAAACAAGAACATACTGTGATTAAGTGGGAAGTACGAAAGCCCTGAAGGAACTTACAAACAAAGCCCCAGGAAGAGATGCCACACCCATTGAGCTCATCAAGGGAGCAGAAAATGTGGCTATTAAGATACAGTTTTGTGCCAACAGATTTGGTCTAGCAGTGAAGTAGCCTAGCGACTTGAAGAGTGCAATCTATACCTAAACATAAGAAAAGCGAGCCCAGAGAATGCTTTAACAATCGTACTATAGCTTTCATATCCAATACCAGCAAGGTTTGGCTGAATATTATTCAACATCAAATTAAGAGCTATGTAGAAAGAGAACTACCGGATGTCCAAATAGGCTTCAGGAATAGAAGAGGAACAAGGGACCAAATTGTAAACATCAAGTGGATAATGGATAGATAAAACGAATACCGACAACAGCTGTACCTCTGCTTCATTGACTACAGCAAATCTTTTTAGTGTGGAAACCATGAACTGATGTTAATTACAATGAAGGAAATGGGAATCCGAACTCACCTTGTATGCCTGTTACATAACCTATATGCCAACCAAAAAGCAATGAAATACATGTTTTTTTGAGTTATATCGCGTAAACATATAAATCCATTACCACCCGACAGAGCCAGTTCGTAAGGTTTGTCACGTAAACAAAACATATCAATGTGTTACGAGTACAGCACACCGGTGGGTTGGAGAGCAAAGCCACAACATTTACAAATCTGAGTACGACGTTTAAAAAAGCAACAGTTTGGGGAGACATGAGAAATTGATCTTGAGTAACACAGGGCTGTATATGGTCTCCATACCAATTTAATTGATAAATTGAGCATATTATGAGACAGGCAGGCTTGGATTCAATTGAGGCAGGCATGAAGCCATATTATTAACATTCCTTCCCTTTATTAATTCTAATCTTACTCCCTCCCTTTGATACTGCTAATCCTGCATAATGCATGGGCATAATGACTTTAAACCCTTGGCCAAACCTCCTACGCATTTCACAAGTAGTACTAATCGCATATCTGTATTTCCCATAAATATGCTAAATTCCTCTTGATATGAAAATTATTTTGTCAAGACGCTCTTCGTCCCTCCATCCCAGCATAAATAGTCGCTCCAAGCCTGGGGCGTGCCATTCAGACTCTGCCTTCTCGACAGACCTGTTTTCCACCTGAAGACGACTGCTTGCGTTGTGGCCGAAACGTCGTGAGAATTATTTTATTATGTTTTATTTTTATTATTTTATTATTTTCCTTCTACGTGACTTCACCGAAAGAACCAAGAAGATGAAGATGACTGCTTAATATGGAAGGGAAGTTTGTTCCAGTAAAGGTGGGAGAGATGAGACTCAGTGAAAACGTGTTTGAACACTAGGAGGAGGAACAGAAAGAGACAAAGATTGAGAACATAGAGGGTGAGACAGGAGTTTTGCAGCAGAGGTTGAAATAAGCAGTCGGATTTTGCGAATGTTTAATATATGAAACCGTCAAGTGCAGGTAGTGGCAGAAATGTGATCAGAAACGGAGAGGAAAGAGTAAACAATATTACCAAGGTTGCGGGCTGAGGAAATATAAAAGGAGGGAACGAGATGGTGGGACAGGGAGGAGGGGAATAAGCGGCATGGAAATATAATTTGGGGTTTGGAAGGGTTCCATACTCTTTGGTTATTTCGGTAAAGTCACGTAGGTATAATAAAAGAAAAAATAATATATCACGACGTTTCGATCGCAACACAAGTGGTCGTACTCAGGCATACAAAATAATCCAGCAGTGGAACTGCTGAACCAGCGAGAGAGCTGTTCCAACAAGAGGTTATATATGTGGCCCACTGCATCTCCAACCAGCGCCACCAAGCCAGTAAACAAGAGCACGTACACCATGCCCTCAAGACGAATGGATACTCAGACCGCACAATCCGCAAAGCTGTATCCCCAATCATGGGAAGACAACCATCTGAGGACCCAATCAAAACCATCACCTTGCCATACATAGCAGGTGTTACCAAAAGGATTTCCAAAATCTTAAACAAACACAACATCCATGTCAGATTCAATACTGTACACAAAATCCTGATTTGATCCCATCTGTGAAGGATGTCATTCCTGACATGCAATATCCTGGAGTCTACAAACTGAGTTGTACCTGCGGTAGCAGTTACATTGGGGAAAGGAAACGACATGTCTCAGACCGTGTTCGCGAACACAAGGCAGATTTGAAATACAGCAGAACCAATACCTCTGCCGTGGCTGATCATTGTTATAACGCAGTGGGCTCGCACAATATTGTTTTTTCCCGAGACCAAGGTACTCTGCAAACCTTCGGGCTACCATCAAAGATTTGTCCATGAAGCCATCTAGATATATAAACACAGAAACAATTTCAACCGAGAAGATGGGTATAAGCTGAGCAATCATTGGAAGGACGTTATTAATCAAGCAAAGTCGTAACTTGATGTGGTGCTTCCAATCCTCCCTGCCGTTTGGCTGTTATCTCCGACTCTCTGTGTTGCATTGCCCTGTTAGGTGCCTCTGCATTAACGGGCTGGGGTCTCACTAACATGGCCACCTTTGCTCCCTTAGCCTCGATGTATCGATAGTTCTGGCTGTGTGATGGGCTGTGCATCTCACTGGCGTGACCACCGTTGCGGTGGTTCCCTTGCGTGGACGCGCTTGCCTCTCACAGCGCAGTTGGCAGCGCCGCAGCTTGTGTTACACAGAGACATGACATAAACTTACTAATCCCCCTAATCTCTCTGCCTAATCTCTCCCATCAACATAGTGCTAATCTGCCATTAACGCTGTTGTTGTGCTCATATGCAGGGACGTTACTCTTATGCGGCGACGGAAGCTCATTTCATGTTAATTTCTCTCCCTAATCTCTCTCCCTAATCTTCCCCATTAACAACTGACATGCCTTTCCAGCTCAGACCCCACCTGCTTGCCCTTTGCCACATATATAACCTCTTGATGTAACAGCTCTCTCGCTGGTTCAGCAGTTCCACTGCTGGATTCTTTTTTCAGCCTGAGGACGACCGCTTGTGTTGCGATCGAAACGTCGTGATATATTATTTTTTATTTTATCTTTCTACCTACGTGACTTTACCGAAAAAACCAAAGAGTAATTCCTGCAATCACAAAAGCTTCAAATCAAGATTGTTTGGAAGGGCTGTTGGACAGAAAGCGACGTGACATCCAAAATTGGATGGATACCAGACAGGATGAGATGCGATAAGTGGGGTCATGGGAAAAGGAAGGAAAGGATAAGAAAATCTTAATTTAATCCACGAAGGAATAATGGGGAAAGTTGAGCGAAGAAAGGAGAAATTAGAGTGGTGAAATAGAGAAACTAAGTTTAAACCACCAACTCAAAAGAGCTGAAAGCATGGTCATATAGACCACGTCGATCTGTCCGTCCAAAGCAGGTCTTAGTGAAACAAAGAGACTGGTTTCATCCTCATTGGGAGTCATCAGTGCAGTAATCTATTTTCACTTTCATGAAGGAAAAATGTAGTGTGTATTTAGCTGAGCTTACGCTGTCCCGTGAGGATGACTCCATCAATGTTCTTGTACTTGACCTCCTGGTGGATGTGGGATGTGAATTCATTCGCAACCTCAAGGAAGCCAGGTTTGAGATCTTTATCTGGAATGTTCTCCAGCTTGCTTAAGTCTTCTGGGTTGACTGGCATGGGGAACGTGAAGCACTTGCGCTTCTGTAAAACAAAACAAAAAGAACAAAAATAATAGATTTAACCCCTATGGCAGAGCATGTTTTGCTTGCATGTTGTCCACAAATACGTGTGATTAATGCAGATTTAATTCCTTGAAAAACGTATCTAGTTTCTGTTGAAACATCTTAACACCGATTTTATTGCCAGAAGGGATAAAACCTATTCTTATTTTTCAAAAATAACATCTCATTATAATATTTGTCTTTTCACAAAAAACATAACAGTATTTTCTTTCACACACACAACCCATTGGCCAAACAACCTCAGAGTGCATCTTATCAGCAGCAAGATGGATGCCGGTGTGGATGCCGTGCCAGGCATCTCACGGCTCTCCCCCTCCTTGTCAGGTGCCCTTCTCTTTCCCTCATCGTCACATGGGGCCCCCTGAAATGTTTCTTGGCGAATCGGCCTCATAACCGAGTCCTTTAACATCGACCTCTACTGGCCGCCGGCAGGGTCGTGTCCATGTGCTGTCCACTGATGGTCTACAGATGAGGTCGCGGCCTCCCCTAGGGCTCTCTGAACCTGGAGAAGCATTCTGGAAGAGACCCCTTAACAGCTACTCACCTACAGACAGAACCGTTAAGTCCTGCCCGGGAGCCAGCAAGAGGAACCCTTCCTGTGAGCGCCGACGCATTTGTCAGTGGCTGCCGCAGGTTTTCTGAATGCCCAAGGGCCTACCCGAGGGAGAAGTCTGCAAGTGCTACCTAGCAGAAATCGCCTTCATCGGCAGGGCGCTGGGAAGAGCTGCTACCAGGGTCTCAGGACTTAATTCCGAATTATTTACTGGAGTCCCATCTAATTGACCAATTTGGGAACTGTCGCAACAACGACATCGACTTCTGCAATTGTGGCATAAACTTATATTTCTGTAATTACTGCAACATCTCGACCTCCACAGCTACTTTAGCAACAGTTATGGTGACCATTACAACGATTTCAATGGTCTTTGTGGCAGCTACTGCAACCAACTGCTGTTGCTGTGGCTGCTTCAACAGCAATGATTAAAATCAACTACTACTACACATACTTCTGTGTGCTACTGCTTCAGCATAGTTTGCTACAGTTGCTCTAGGAGACGGCTTTATGCCTAATGTGTATTGGTTAATTTGCTTCTCTCCCTGTCTCTCTTCTTAAAGTCTCCCTTCTTAAAATATCCTTTCCTGACTCACTCTATCTCACTATTCTATATGCCACTTCACCAACATAGTGCGCTCATAACCTGACCTTCCTGTTCCTCTTCTAATTCCCTGCGATGTAGGGTCACCTGTTTATATAATCGATAATCAGTTAGCAAGCTGCTAGCCTTGCTCCTACTCATAGGTGGGATTGAATGTAACCTTGGGTGTACACCATGTCTTCCTCTGTATTCTCATTTAGTGCTTCTGACTTTGCTAACCATTCTGGCTTGGGCATTCTGAACTTTTATTGTCTCTCTAAAAACTGGACATTCTCAATTGAAATAGATAACCTCTGACTAGACATAGTATGCATCACTGAAACTTGGCTTTCGTCTGGGAAGAACACAAACTCACATGGTATTGATAACTTTACCTTTTTTGACTTGACAACCCTTGATGAAAGGTCATGATATCCTCATCTATGTACGTAGCGACATTGCACGTTTTAATCGAGTTTTTTTGGGTTATATCGCGTAAATATAAGTGTGTCGTTAATCCACCACCACCCGACACATCCGATTACTAAGGGTTTGTCACGTAAACAAAACATGCCAATTCGTTACTAGTTCACCATTGTGTTGGAGAGTAAACCCAAAATATTTGAGTACGACATTTCGCCGGTAATTACAACCAGCCTTATCAAGGCAACAGCCGTAGTTGTGGAGAAATCCTCCTGTTTTGGTCTTAAATAGAGGGATACATGTAATGTCATCACTTGTGAGTCAATCAGGTGCAAAGACCAGGGGGGGGGGGGTGGGGTTAATGTGTTCATATAAATTACAATGGATATATTATTGGTTTGGTTATTCACAGTTAATTAATGTACATTATGCATGTACATTATGTATGCACATTGTATATATATAGGCCTTTTTTCAAAAATTGATATGAATAATAATTCTGCCAATATTTTTTAAAAATAATAATCAATCGGGGTGTCGCTTGGGGCACAAAGGGGGTGATGCGAACCCCCTCCCCTCAAACAACAGCTGCCTCCCACAAGCCACACCAGGCAAGGAAGTAGCCGTAAAACGTAATTAAAAAAAACCCGGTGCAAAAGGGGGAGGGAGGCGGGTTGCTAATGAGATTCTGGGGAAATCTCTACTGGGCTTCAAAGGCCGCCACAAAGCACATACAAACAACAGGCGCCACGATCCTTCCCGGGCGGTGAGAACCGAACACACATCTTTGTTTTGGTTTCTTTGAGTACAACAATAAAAGTGTGAAGCTTGGCTATAAGAATACGTCGACATTATAGACTGCACTCAGATTAAGAGCCAGGCTACAATCTACATTATTGGGTTATCATTTCTCGTATATTATTAAATATTAGTCATATTTTTTTTTTCTTATTCTTCTTCTATCTACGTGACTTTACCGAAAGAACCAAATAATGAATTCTGGCAGTCACGAAATTTTAAGTAAAAACTTAGTTACATCTCCAATCTCAGGATATCAAAATATAACTCGAGAATAAAAAGCACGGAATCCCTGGATACAGACAGGGAACAAAGGTTCATAAACCCTCGGAATACATGTGGTAACAACTATGGTAGATCACAAATCTTGGTTAAACATAAACCAAATAATAATGATACAGTATTACACCGAGGGTCATCCAGAAGAAATACAATACGAAACAGGTCAATCGCACACGACCAAGATAATATGTATTCCATGGAATAAGAGCCTCCCGACCGCCTTTGTCTTCCAGAAGCACGTGGTAGCAATAAATCACAAATGCAGGGAGGGCGTCTTCCCTTAAGATATCAAACACCATGAAGAAATTCCAAACCACGCGTACTGTAAACACTGCTCAAAACATACCTTGAGTCACTTAAAGAGTTAACACCGCAAAAAGGGATAAATACTAAGATAAAAGGTGGAAAATAATGTTTATTTTTCTCTCACCTTACAACCCATAAGAATGAACGGAAAACATGGTAACAGGAGGTCACACTTCAAGAGACGGTGCCCCTCTTTGTGAGAGACAAGAAAATGTAACACCTCCAACCGGGAGGGAAGAGGGGAGGGGGGCACGCAACTGGACAGGGGGAACCCCCCTCCTTCCAGATTGATTATTGCAGAGGGTTGGAGGACTGGAAGGACGCACTTGGGGGCAATTTGGAGCATCTATTTCCACTGATGGTGGGTGGCTTGAGGAACGGGACGGGAACCGGGCCTTGATGAGACTCAATAAAATTAGTACAAACACACACACACACCGGACAAACAGCTGTTCCCACAGGCTGAGAGCGAAATTAAAGGAATTTCTGTCCGTTGTGAGAAGGCGAGCCGAGGTGGGAGTATTTCACATATAAGCAAGGACACAGATCATGCAACTTAGTCTTGCTGTGGAAAGCTCCGGTGGTGGGCCCCGCAAACAACTATGGATGCAGAGGAGAGGGGCGATGTGTTGCTCGGTGCTGAGTTCGGCGCCGATCGACAGAATATCGCTGAAAGTTTTATTCTACATTCATCATGATGTTTTGAGTCGCTTGCAGAGTCAAGGATTTCGATAAGTTGTATTGTACAAAGCGATAAGAGTTGTGAGAAGCTAAGAGGTGTGCGAATACAATTTATGAGTTCTGAGAGTAAGTGAGGAGCTGTGAGCGCAATCGTGCACCGCAGGGAGAGAGCATGAAGCAGTAGAAAGAGCCTGAACCAGCACAGCGTGAAGAAAGGGCGAGAGAGGCACCACAGGGGGCTTGCACGAAGCTCGCAGCTGCCGCCAAGGGAGAGAGCACGGAGCAGCGAAAAAGAGCCCGAATAGAGTAGCAAAGAGGTAAAGTGTCAGCGCTTGCGAGAGCACCGAGGGTTCGACCCACACACACATCGACGAGCACCAGCTGGGAACCAAGACAAGAGTGAGGAACGGCGACCAGCGTACGAGCTGCGAGCGCAATCGTGCACTGCCGAAGGAGAGCACGGAGAAGAAGAGAGAGCGCGTGACCGGCGCAACCGAGGAAAAGTGTCGGCGCTGGCGAGCAGTGGACGAGCTGCGAGCGCAATCGGGCACCTTCAAAGACGAGCAACGTGCCTGCAACAGAGAGGCCGGCAGCTGCAGCCAAGAGAGAGAAAGCCGTGTGTGTGACACACACAAACACACACACAACACACTGCCTGGCAGGGAACCCCTTATCTCAAAAAGTGGAGCACGGAAACAATACACCCACACACTCACACGTAACGCACATAGCGAAACTAATAAGATTGCTCCTAAAGTTATCCTTGTGTTTCAAAAAGGGTGGTCATCCAAAGTGGGTGCGTAAACTATTAACTGATGGTGGAAAGCATATTGCTGCCCATTGAGTTACGTAGATATGGTCGTTTATAAGTATTTTAGTCATTCTTCTTCTTGGTTCTTTCGGTAAAGTGTCATCTACATATCGAAACCAAACAGGGTTTTAGTGCGCTTGAAGCTCGAGATTTTGCTTCAAAGGCTTCCATGTACAGATTCGCAATTACAGGAGACAAAGGAGAGGCCATTGGCGCTCCTTTATTTTTTTTTACAGAAATCACCTTTCCACAAAAAAATAGGTGTTCTTTAGACAGTGCTCAGCTAGTCATGGGATATCTTTGGGTAAACCTATGTTAGTTACCAGAGTATCGAGTAATTTAATTTACTCGTTCACCGGAACCTTTGTGAACAGAGAAGTTGCATATAACTTACTATAATATCATTAGGGTTAAGGTTAATATCTTTAATTATATTTACAATTTAATTATATTTACAATATGTTCTGAGTATGATAATTGGTTCTTTACCCTTCTATCTGGCAACAAAACTGACACCTTTTTTGGTGTCAGTTTTGTTGCCAGATAGAAGGGTAAAGAACCAATTATCATATTTTTACTGGCAAATGAGGTCCCCATAATGTTCTGAGTATTTAATGGATAAAGAGGTCCTGCCAATGTAGGGCTGTATTTGTTTTGTTACATATTGTGCTATTTTGTATATGGCAGTTTTAATGGGACATCAGGTTTGTGACTCTTTGGCCACCCATCAGATTTTATTATAATTCTCACGAGGATTCACAACAGTTGATAGGCCCTTATCATCAGCAAGAATTTGGATATATTTATTTGCTCTCAATTCTCTTAAGGCGTTTGCCTCAACGAGACGAATATTTGTTTTTGGCAATGTACTGTTCTCAATTATTTTGGCAACCTCATGCCTAGTCATCTCAGCTTGATTGTGGGAGATGTCTAAATACTGATTCCACTACAGAAATTATCTCTCAACAGGGATTGTACGTGGGGTAACAGAAAAATAAATAACTTTAGATAGGATTATCATAGTGTATAATTCATAATGACCAACATAAACATGGAAGATTCCTCCTTAAAGAGAGTCATGAGACGCGGTGCAGATTTTCTGTGTAACCAAGCAAAATAAGGACAAGTAAAGAGTTGAGACTAGGTTAGAGTTTCGATTTAAAGCTTTCGTGACTGCAGGGATTCATCTTCTTGGTTCTTTCGGCAAAGTCACGTAGAAGGGAAAAAATAAAATAATAAAAAGAAAACATAATAAAATAATTCTCACGACGTTTCGGCCACAACGCAAGCAGCCGTTCTCAGGTGAAGAACAGGTCTGTCGGAAAGACAGCGTCTGAATGAGCACTAATTTCCTCTTGATATGCAAATTCCTTTGTCAATGCGCCCTTCCAACCCAGCTTAAATATACGCTGCCAAGCATGGTGGTGCTCATTCAGACACTGTCTTTCCAACAGACCTGTTCTTCACCTGAGGACGGCTGCTTGCGTTGTGGCCGAAACGTCGTGAGAATTATTTAATAATGTTTTATTTTTATTATTTTATTATTTCCCTTTTACGCGACTTTGCCGAAAGAACCAAGAAGACTAGGTTAGAGGTTACGGTTCGGGACAGGAGCGCTTTGACCAATTTCATCACCCCTATCAGTAGGGACAGTCGTCTCGGCCCAATCAAAACAGGTTAAGAACTTATGGATGAATGGGTATTTAATGTCTTTACCTTAAAATATTGGCACATTATGTCGCGCTGCTTGTTGAATGTCTTGTTTGCTTCTTCTTGACCACGTTGTGTCTCTGCCTTGCGTATTTTAAAGCAATGCTCCATGTAGTCGTCAGCAGTGCAAGGATTTCCATTCAACTCCAACGTCAGCATGAAGTCGCGTACACAGACGATGAGGGATGGGAAGTACTTGTCCAGATCCTTTGGGTTGTCTTTATGAGATTCTACCGTTGTTTTGACATACTGCGCAACATCCTTTGCATACCTGGATTAGGGTCGGAGTCAAGAACATTTAATGCAGCAGTGCATCGTACCTTTTACAGAAACGGAGTCATTTGAGATCAAGATAAAAGTTCTGAAAATACAAGACATTTGAAAATACGCCATTTAAACTCCTCAAAGCCTTTCCACATATGGGGAATGCAGCATTCTGCACATAATTTAATCATTCTTAAATAAAAAGAAGGGATTTCACTGGACGTAGATCTGGAGGATGTTTGCTTTATTCTTCAAGGCTGATGAGATATGTTGGAAGGGGTGGGAATAGTCACACTTAATTCACTACACGCGACCTGCAGCTCAGCTTCCTGTGGTGTTACCCATTCGTACTGCTGGGTGCACAAAGGCAGTGGAGCTGATTTAATAAACTCGACCCATTGTTTCAAATGCCACACAGGTAGATGAAATCAAAACAAGAACCTCTATATAGTCCAGTGTGCTAACCAATACACAGAGGCAGCTCTATAATTGAGAACAGGTTTTCCTCTTTTTTTCTGGCAACAAAACATGTGTTAAGATCTAGATTTGAAGTTTTCGTGACTGCAGGGATCCATACTGTTTGGTCCTTTCGGTGAAGTCACGTGGGTATAAAATAAAATGAATTAAATCACGACGTTTCGGGCGCTTGTGTTGCGCCCGAAACGTCGTGATTTAATTTAGTTTATTTTATACCTAAGTGACTTTACCGAAATAACCAAAGAGTAAGGTGTTAAGATGTTAAAACACCAAACTGAAACCTTTTACGAGGAAACATGTCTGTATTAACCACAGAATGCAAACACAAAAACATACTCTGATAATATATGGATTGTCTTTGAAACTGATTAGTCCACACCAGAGACAGCTTTCTTTTGAGCCTCGTCTCAAACGGTGTTAGACCAGAGGACGCCAAAAGGCGTACAGCACAAAGACAAGCTGTATCAGTTTCAAGGACAATGCATATATTTTCAGAGTATGTTTTTGTTTGCAGACATGATTCCTTGCAAAAGGTTTCAGTTTGGTGTTTTAACATCTTACCACCTGTTTTGTTGCCAGAAAAAAGAGGAAAACCTATTATCATGTTTTGGTAATGGCAAAGGAGGTCCCATGATGTAGCTCTATAAGTGTTAATTAATTACATTTAAATATTTACACATACATAACATCTGAAACCATGTTCTCCAATAAACTAAATATTTACAACTTACTTATACTTTCAAACATCACTATTGTATAATTGAATCTGAGTCAATGGAGCAGATGCGTTTCTGCGAAATACGGATGAGCTTTATGACGAGCTTGAATAATTTATTTGGTTTATTTGCCAAATAAAGGTAGTGTAAATGTAAAAACTGAGGGAAAGAGTAACTAACAGAGCACGTTGATGACGAACGCGTCCAACGGTACGGGCTCAATGGCTGCATCAGTTACCACGTGGTCTGCGATTTCCTTGCACTCTTTCGTTTAAAAACACATGTTTAAAAATTAAAAACATGTATTTGCTTCAATGCATACATTTTAAAGAAATTAAATGTATTCACATTATTTAAAAGAACGTCCAACAAAGAGTGTAACGACATTAACAGCAGAACACGTGGTAAGCTGATGCATGTAGATTCACTCCAGAACGCCTTAAACATTATGGAAAATATCTACATTAGATCACACAGGGGTTCTGTCACAAATATCACCGGCGTTATATACAAATATTTACTACCACCCATTAGTTGTTTGGTTCCATCTGACCCTTCTTTGTGCTACTATGCCGCCTCCTGCTGTAGCTCTTTTCCCAGACATTGTTTTACAAATAACTCTCCCTTGCGTGTTGTTACTGTTGTTGATATCAATCTCAGCCAGGCACCGCCTTCCCTTCTGTTTTCATTTTTACTCGTTTGCTGCTATCTCTTTCCGCTAGCCCTCCAATAACTTGTTAAATATTCCCCTTGATCCTAGATGACGGCCGGGGATTCCAGTGAAGCATGTTCGTGACTATCAAATTCCTATTATGTGTGTACTTCGAGTGTGTATTGTTGTTGAAAAGCATAAAAAACTACAGATATCTTTTCCTTTCGTACGGAGAGTAAATTAGTGAACAAACAGGTCTACATTTTCTTGGTTCTTTCGGTAAAGTCACGTAGAAGGGAAATAATAAAATAATATAAATATAAAACAATAAAAATTCTCACGACGTGTCGACTGCAACACAAGCAATCATCATCAGGTGTGAACTCCAAAGCAAGAAAATAAAAAAGTGGCGGTTTTTCTTAACGTCAGCACCACAGACAGCGATTTGGCAGTTGGCCAGATGGACGAGTCCATCTATGTTCGGAAAAGAGGAGGGGGGAGCAGAAAATGGAATGCGGTCTGAAAGTCACCGTAAGCGTGAACACAATAAATTAAGACCCGAAATGGTTTATCAAATCCTTCCAATGATTGCTAAGCCAGAATCAATCTTCTCGGTTGAAATTGTCTCTGTGTTTGTATATGTGAATAGCCTCATGAACGAACCTCTCATGGTAGCCAGATAGCTTGCAAAGAACCTCTGTCTTGGAGAAGTCAACGTCATGTGAGCCTACTGAATTATAACAGTGATCTGCCACGGCCGAGGTGTTGGTCCTACCGTGTTTTAGGTCTGCTTTGTGCTCACGGATGCGGTCAGAGACATGTCGTTTGGTTTCTCCAATGTAACTACTACCACAGAGGCAACTCAGTTTGTAAACGCCAGGGTATTGTATGTCTGGAATCACATATTTTACAGACGGAACCAGATCACGGATTTTATGTAATGTGTTGAATAGGACCTGGATCTTGTGTTTATTCAAGATTTTGGAGATATTTTTTGTGATGCCTGCAATGTAGGGTAAGGTGATAGATTTGAATGGCTCCTCAAGAGGGTCCTTCTTCATGGTTGGAGTGATGGCTTTGCGGATTGTGTAGTCGGAGTAACCATTAGCCTTTAGAACTTGGTGTACGTGCTTGAGTTCACTGGCAATGTGTTCCTGGTCAGAGATGCATTGGGCTCTATGGTGCAAAGTCTTGGTTATGGAATTCTTCTGGGATGGATGGTGGTGGGAATCCGATTTCAGGTAAGCATCCGTATGGGTAGCTTTCCTGTAGACAGTGGCTCATTGAACCATCAGGTCTCTTTTGTATTAGGACATCCAAAAAAGGTAGCTTGCCATCTTTTTCGACTTCCATGGTAAATCTGATGGCTGGGTGTATGGAATTGATGTGGTCGAGGAATTGGTCTAGAGTAGGCCGGCCATGTGGCCAGATGACAAAAGTGTCATCCACGTACCTCTTCCATAAGGTTGGGCGCAAAGTGGCAGTCTGGATGGCGTCAGTCTCAAATTTCTCCATGGAAACGTTGGCTACAACCGGAGATAGGGGGGAGCCCATTGGGGTGTCCTCAGTTTGTTTGTAGAAAGTTCCATTCCAAGTGAAGTATGTATTGGTTAAGCAGTGTCTAACCAAGGGGGGTACCTCAGTGTTCAGTCCTTGATGAATCAAGTCTTCAATGATTGCGATGGTGTCAGGTACAAGAACTTTGGTGAATAAGGAAACTACATCAAAACTGACAAGCAGGTCGTCTGGGGACAGGGAAATACCCTTGATTGTCGATACCAGGTAAATAGAGTTAAGTACGTTAGGAAAAACCGCCACTTTTTTCAAAATTTCTTGCTGTGGATTTCACACCTGATGATGATTGCTTGTGTTGCAGTCGAAACGTCGTGAGAATTTTTATTATTTTATATTATTATTTTATTATTTCCCTTCTACGTAACTTTACCGAAAGAACCGAAGTTCAGAGAAACGTCATTGATTTGAGATGATTTTACAACCCTAACTTGGTTACAATTCTAGAATAGATTGACAAAAAGCTGATTTTGTTAACTATAAAATTCGGCGATGATATTATGTAAGACTAGCAATTATACAGTTCCTCTCATAATGTTGAACAATTATATTCTCATTCATAATAAAATCATGAATGTGTTAGGTAAATCAATGTCATCTGACCTGTTATGGAATGGCTGTATTACTAATCAGGCTAAGGCGACAGCAGAGAATATTTGTTTTCTTTTCCAGGTCAAACACTTTTTTTTAAATTTAACTTTGAATACATATAATTGCCCTACAACGTATCTCAAATTCGTCCACAGCTGGGAAGCTCATCTTCTTGGTTATTTCTGTGACTTTACCGAAATAACCAAGAAGATGAATCCCTGCAGTCACGAAAGCTTTAAATAAAAAAAGAAGACTCATCTGCACATTAACATAGCCACCTTAGCGTGATCGCCATGGAGGCTGCTCACTGATCTTAAATTAACATGCTAATTTTTACCTGGCAGCTCTTTATTGGTGGAAAACCCACCACCATCGCGTTGCCCACATTTCAGCTTCAATAAGTGCTATTGTGCCTACAGTACATATGAGATGACAAGGTGAAATATTAGAGGTCATCAAAACCAATACCATTGATGCCGCGGCACTCTGCTTCCTTTTGAATAAATGAAGTATTTATTGTAAAGTAGACTCGTCCTTTACGGACCAAAGTTAAAGTATTCTAACAACTGGCTTTAGGTCTCCCCTTGGTCGCCAACCACTTGCTGCCACACCAATGCCTGTCTTGGTAACCTGCTTCATCTTGCACCTCCTACTCGCAACTCTAATCAAAGGCCAAATTATTTGATTATTTGGTTCTTTCGGTTAAGTAACGTCTAAAGATAAAATAATAAATTAAATTAAATAATAGCATACGACGTTTCGATTGCAACACAAGCAATCATCATCAGGTATAATGAAATAGCGACATAAAATCTAACCAGAAAACTATAGACAGACATATTAGCAGACAGATATCACCAAGATACATAGAGGGAGCAACACAGGAACCAGAGAGGGGTGATCATCTCTGTGGGGTGGCCTTAAATAGACAGAGGGGGGAGGAGGCAGAGAGAGGGAGAGGGTTAGAGAAAACATTTGCATATCAATGAGTGGTCCAAAAACAAGGTTCTGCAAGTGCGATGACACGGCAAGCAAGTCTGAAATCAGAAGGACAAACTAAAATTCAATAACCTAGCAAAATATCGAAATGTAATGTAATACAACACAGAGAGTCGGTCAACACACAATTAACGCATAGCCTGGTTGATTACGTATTTCAAAGATTGCTAAGTTAGAATTTAAGTGTGAACATTCCAAAGAGAAGACACAGGCAGAGAGAAGAGAGAGAGAAAAAAGGATAAGCTCAAAACTTCCCCGTAGAAGTGGTTCAATCTTAATTTTAGAACTTTCGTGACTGCAGTAAATGATTATTTGGTTCTTTCGGTTAAGTCACGTCTAAAGATAAAATAATAAATTAAATTAAATAATAGCATATTTTGCTAGGTTATTGAATTTTAGTTTGTCCTTCTGATTTTCAGACTTGCTTGCCGTGTCATCGCACTTGCAGAACCTTGTTTTTGGACCACTCATTGATATGCAAATGTTTTCTCTAACCCCCTCCCTCTCTCTGCCTCCTCCCCCCTCTGTCTATTTAAGGCCACCCCACAGAGATGATCACCCCTCTCTGGTTCCTGTGTTGCTCCCTCTATGTATCTTGGTGATATCTGTCTGCTAATATGTCTGTCTATAGTTTTCTGGTTAGATTTTATGTCGCTATTTCATTATACCTGATGATGATTGCTTGTGTTGCAATCGAAACGTCGTATGCTATTATTTAATTTAATTTATTATTTTATCTTTAGACGTAACTTAACCGAAAGAACCAAATAATCATTTACTGCAGTCACGAAAGTTCTAAAATTAAGATTGAACCACTTCTACGGGGAAGTTTTGAGCTTATCCTTTTTTCTCTCTCTCTTCTCTCTGCCTGTGTCTTCTCTTTGGAATGTTCACACTTAAATTCTAACTTAGCAATCTTTGAAATACGTAATCAACCAGGCTATGCGTTAATTGTGTGTTGACCGACTCTCTGTGTTGTATTACATTACATTTCGATATTTTGCTAGGTTATTGAATTTTAGTTTGTCCTTCTGATTTTCAGACTTGCTTGCCGTGTCATCGTACTTGCAGAACCTTGTTTTTGGACCACTCATTGATATGCAAATGTTTTCTCTAACCCCCTCCCTCTCTCTGCCTCCTCCCCCCTCTGTCTATTTAAGGCCACCCCACAGAGATGATCACCCCTCTCTGGTTCCTGTGTTGCTCCCTCTATGTATCTTGGTGATATCTGTCTGCTAATATGTCTGTCTATAGTTTTCTGGTTAGATTTTATGTCGCTATTTCATTATACCTGATGATGATTGCTTGTGTTGCAATCGAAACGTCGTATGCTATTATTTAATTTAATTTATTATTTTATCTTTAGACGTGACTTAACCGAAAGAACCAAATAATCATTTACTGCAGTCACGAAAGTTCTAAAATTAAGCCAAATTATTTCTTAAGTTATGAATTCAACTCGTGTGTAGGAGCTAGGTGGATTATTGAATTACAAGCATGTAAAAGTTGGTGATGATTTGGGGAGGCTGTAACAGTGGATAGAGCATGGCCAATGATGACATGGGAGGTATGATAATTCTATGACCCAAATATTCTCATCTGGAGATGTGCATCACAGAGATTGATGCCATTTATTCAACCTCTTCCCAGAGCCCATTGCTAACTCTGATTATAGCCTAGTTTAGGCCTCGTAGTGGCTACCTTGATCTGGGCCCATGGAAGTATATTGCCTCTCTGCTTAATGTGTTGCTACGTGAGTAACCTATCGCTCTGTGAAGGATACTGTAGCTGCTCCAGGCCGGAGTGGTCCAGAGTCCCCACGGTGTTGTAGACCAGGATGTTTGAGAGCAGCACGGCCATGACGAACAACCAGATGTCATGCTCCCCATTGGCCTGTGGAAAAACGAACGTCTTTTAAATTATACACCAATATATCTTACCCCTGCACTTATTCTCCAATGTCTTGGTGTCTGTGCTTTTGTTATTGCTGATTTAGTGCATTAGTGTTGCCTCCAAGGTCTGTTCAGTGCTGTTTTTATTCTTCTCTCATGTCTTCCATTCCTTCTTGATCTATTATTTCATGACGAGCTGATGCAAAGGTTCTTCTGCATCCTCTTGGGTCTTCTACGCATCGTTTCAGCATTATATGCATCAATGTATATAATATGGTGTGTTAATTATATCCTTATGTTTATGGTTGTATATTGTACAAAGATCACGCTATATATGTAACTTAACACTTGCACCTGTTTTTTTACTTAGCTAATGTTATAAATCTAGCTTATGGGCTCTTGGTCTCAATGTTTGAGGACGTTTTAAGCAAAATGTGATATCTAATTGCTAAATTTGTTTTTGAGAATTGTTCTTCAAATGACAGGTGTGCTAAAACAATATGTCGTGCTTTAAAACACTTGCAGACATGTTGACTGTATTGCGTGATGAAGGGATACACAACAACCATTTGGCCAGATAAATACTGTAACTAGCCTAGCCAAAAATAAATTATGACTCGTATTTTTGCTCATTCCCAAGCTAAAGAACTGAGCCAGCACTGCATTTGGATTGAATCCTGAGTCCCTGTCAGACAATCAGTATCATCTCGCTCGTTATTATATGAAGAAAAATATCGTGATATTTCATTTCTTGGCTGATAAGTATGTACACAAATGAGAAAGTAACCAGTGAAAGGATACGAATGAGAATAGATTTTCCACTTTTTTTTTGCAACAAAAACACGTGTTAAGATACTTATTCTTGGTTATTTCGGTAAAGTCACGTAACTTTACCGAAAGAACCAAGAATATGAATCCCTGCAGTCACGAAAGCTTAAGATCAAAATGTGTTAAGATGTTAAAACACCAAACTGAAATCTTTTACAAGGAATCATATCTGCATTAACCACAATACTTGTGGTCAGAATGCAAACAAAATAATACTCTGATAAAATATGCATTGTCTTTGGAACTGATTGGTCCACCCCAGAGACAGCTTTCTTTCGAGCCTAGTCTCAAACGGTATTAGACCAGAGGACGCCAAAAGGCATCCTCTATCTCTGGTGTGGACCAATCAGTTTCAAAGACAATCCATATATATTATCAGAGTATGTTTTTTGTTTGCATTCTGACCACACGTATTGTGGTTAATGCAGACATGATTCCTTGTAAAAGGGTTCAGTTTGGTGTTTTAACATCTTAACACCATTTTAGTTGCCAAACAAAAGGGGAAAACCTATTCTCATATTTTGGAACTGGCAAAGGAGGTCCCAAAGGATAAGAATGTTAGGAATGAATATGAAATCAATATACACAAATCCACCATCACTAAATTGAGGTGATATCACCATGGCACTTATGCTAATACAGGTACAGTTTGAGGCCACATGAAGTGTTTAACTTCACAAGCAGGAGGTAACTGAGAAGGCTGACAGATGCACCACCTGTACTCCGCACTGCCACCATGTGTTTAGTCACCCATCATGATGCTCACTGTTGTGAATATGCCTTCGCCCTCCGTGGTTGCTGGAGGGCCAACCTCCTCCAACTGCCTGGTAGAGTCCTTCACGAGTCCCCACCACAGAGGTAAATATTTACTCAGCTGGTACTTTTCAGCGGCAAGTTAAATCAGCTCAAAATCGTTCCATAATACAACGCCCCATCTTTTCTATAGTCTACGCTCTGCTCATTTAGCCCCCTTTATCAAGCCACACAGAAGCTGCTTTGGCATGCAGTGGCTGGCCATGAGGGCTACATGGCCCTACCAATGCAACCTTCTCTGCCAAAGGGGCTCACTAATGGGATTGTCCAGACGGTTCAAGGATTTCTGCACTCCTCGCACAAGTCCATTCAGCTCCGAGTCCTTCTCACATACACCAATCAATTCAGCTCCAGATCCTTGTGTAACTCTGATCCCATCAGCCCACATCTTCTCTCGTGCATGTTACAACTGCTTAGTGCACTCTAGCCAGATAAACAAGAGCAAACTGGGAATGTTATTAGTTGATGCACCTATATTCTGGAGTCACTTGTCCTCTCAACCGAATTCCAATCAGACCTAAGTTTAAAAAAAAAACATGCATGAATGGACTTGACAATTTTTTAAATAAAACATTTAGATTAAGATTTTATACTAGCTGCATTAAGCCATTCATTTTGTTCAATTTTTTTTCATCGACTCTATGATCCTAATCTCCAGACGCATGCTGCGTCATCAACGGCAAAGCTAGCAGTGGAGGAATTTGTCTTTCTATGGATCTATACAGACTATTGATGAATGACGTAGGACACATGTCATGCGCTGAATTGGCCTGACTTCAAGAATAATTAACGGTTTGAACTGCATTTGGTCCCAAGGACATTGATCAACCAGGTATAGTGTTAACTGTTGGCCGAATCTCTGAGGTGCGTTACATTTCTAAGTTTGCCAAGTTTGATATCTGTTTTCTTTTTCCTTTCTGTCATCTTTTTTTTCCTCTGTAAAATTTCACCCCCACCCTCTCGCCCGTTACGGCAGCACCCCCTCCCCCCTCCTCGGATTTGGCAAGAGCATAGCTGAACAAGTTCTACGAGTTGTTTGAGAGACTGCAGTTAGCCCATCCCAAGCTCAAAGCCTTGTCTGTGTCACCTCGCATGAGGGAGGTGGTGTGCCTGTGGCACCAGGTAAATGAGAAGAGGGTTCGGACATTCATGGAACATAACTGAGGGACGGTCATTTCCGTAGCTCACACCATAATGATGAAGTGGCATAGGTGGAGGCTACTGAATGGGGCATAAGCCGTCCTGTGCGAGGCAGGATGCACACCGCTCACACCAGCCACATGCAGTGCCAGCTTCTGCGGTTAGGGGGCGAGGGTGCCAGGGATGGCGCCGGGCTTCACCGGGGGCCATGGCACACCAGGTGAACCCAGAGGCCTGGTGACCGGAGGTACCGGCCAAGGGGCCCCAAGGAGGGGGCTGGGGTGACCACGGGACCAGGACCAGGTCCCTTTCGAAGGCTCTAGAAGGGAGGCGTGGCCAGGGGTGGAGGAAGCCCCGCAACTGGCAATATAAGCCGGACCCCTGAACAGGTCCAGCAGCTGTTGCAAGATTGAAGACAGGAGCTGTCACCCGGCGAAGATCTGCCCGAGTAGAGGACCCAGACCCGAGCCAGAGTCCGGTCCGAGACGGCCACCCCGTGTGTGCTAGGGTTAGCTAGCCTGGAGGTGATACCTCCTTAGGGGTAGCTGGTGAAGGGGCAGTTATACCCCTTCGTGTTATAGGGCTTATTGTAATAACTGTGTTGCCTCCAAGAAGTCTCTTCCTCCCTCGTGTGAACCACTACAACTGGTGTCATATGTGGCCACACTGTTAGTAATTAACTAGCTAAATGGAGACAGGGAGCAGAGCAGGTTCCTTGTCTCTGGAGGATGAAGACGACGTAGCAACACCCCCGGGGTTGGCGGCCCCAGAGGAGGGTGGAGATGTATTATGCCATCCGGCTGCTCGGCAGCTTGCCGCCGTCGGGGAGAGCACTTCAGGCGGCTCACTTCTGCCTCGCCAAACTCCTCCATGCAGCAGCGTCTATTTTGGATGAAATCCATCATGGGGAGCCGACAGCAGCATGGGGCTGTGGCTCCTGCCGCCGCTTCTACAGTTCCCGCCGAAAATGCGGAATATCCCGCTGGAACTCTCCACCAACCGGAGGTCTCCGCGGCTCCCGCAAAATTTTCCCGGCAACCAGAGACCGCCGCATCACGCTTGGCATTACCGGCGCAGGGGGCCGCCATCTTGACCACGGTGAGCGGCTGACTTTCCGCCAAAAGTGACGGAGAACAGCTGTTCTGACGGAGTTCTCAGCCGCTGGAGGCTAATAGGCCACCTTCCAGCGGCGCTTCCTCATGAACTGTGAGATGGTAGGGTGGACGAAGGCTGAGGCGCTATGGGCGCTTCCTGCTGCCCTGGACGACCCAACGTCCTGGCAGCTCTGGTCACCATCCCGCCAGCGGATTGCGCCACGCTGCACCAGGCAATGCAACAGATGGTAGCGATCTATGGGCCATTGTCCAATACTCGCCACCGTTTCGCTGCACAGAGGCACGGGGACACAGACCCCTCACCTTCTGTAGTGCACTGCTGGCGTTGTCGAGGGCTGCATACCTCTGGATGGACGAGGAGGGCATGGACGCCCTGGTGATGGAGAAGCTCCTGTCATTGGCGTTGAGCTGCGGGTGATCATCCACGCCATCGATGACACCGACTTGTGCCCCCTGTAAGTGGCGCGGAGCATTCAAACTCACGTGCTTCTCCAGCGGGAGACGGGGTTGGTGGCATGCGCTCCGCCCAAGGAGGCGTGCAGCTCACTGCAGGAGCCAGCTCCTGCCCAGACCTTCGCATCGACCCTGGACAGGGGAGGACGTCGCCGCGACCAGAGCGGGGCCTCATCTCCTGCTTCAACTGTGACCTGCAAGGCCACGTTGCGTCGGGTTTCCGGGTGCCTCGACGACGCTTCTCCGGGCCCCAGCCGCCATCCGCCCAACCATCCTTCTCTCCACGGCAACCCGTCGTGAGTTGCGACACCGCACACACCCAGCCCCTAGTTCCCCTTCACGCATCTCATTTCGCCGGGTTACGGTCTCGTCGTGCATCGGTACTGGGGAGTGCAGACTGCATTCAGGCTGACTGGTCACTCCGACCGGGTCAGTGGTCGTAGTTGGCCAATAGGGTGGTTGCCGCGACCGCGGGTTCGTCGGTTGTCGTGGGCTGCTTTGAGGGGGTCGATTTTCATATGCACGTCGAAACGGGGGCGTTGGCAACCATTATTTCTGAGCTCATTTATAACATCTTGCCGGATAAGTGACATTCCTTGCGCCCTGTCGAAGTGCCGTGCTTTGCCGCCAATGGGGGTTCATTCGGGATCATCGGCCAAATGACTGCTCAAATTTGTATTGGGGATGTCAAATTGTCTTGACTGATTCTCGTTTCATCATCCCTTGCTGTCCCATGCTTGCTCGGGACTGATTTTTTGGGAAAATTGCCAGTACAAACTTTAAATAGATCAGGGTTGTATCGAGTTGCCCTCCGGTCGTCGCTTGGCATTACAATCTTCCTCCACCCGCTTGTGGATGGCGAATGCCACGGTACAAGTGCTTGCGGCCCAAACAGTTTGGATTCCCCCGGGTGTGCAAATGCTTGTTCCTCTGCGCTTATGTAAGCCGCTTGACTCGGCGGCAACAGCGGCAGGGATCCTCCTGGGTCCCTCCAACACAGCTGTGCGGGGGATGAATCTAGTAGGGGCACAGACCCTGGTGTAGCTGACAGGGACCCGTTTATTCAGGTCCTGCATGCTGGGTTTCAGACGTCCATCATTCCACAAGGCACAGTGCTTGCCCATGCATCGCCCTCGCTTCAGGGGTGGTAGGTAGCGTTGGGGCGGGGTCACGTCCGACGCCGCGTTCGGGTTCAGATGCCTGCAGGGTAGACTCCCTCTGCTCAGAGGCTGTGGACTTGTCCACAGCCCAGCGGAGCAAATTGAGGTCACTCTTAATGGAGTTCGTTGACATTTTCTGCACCGGTAAATTCTCTCCCTGCTGCACAACTGGCCCATGAAAGATTTGGCGACATGGTGATGCAGCCATGAATCCTCAACCATCAACCACATTGTAAACACCTGCTGTCTTCACTCCTTTAAAAGAGGAATGGACGACATCCTCTATGCTTCTGACCAGATAATTTGAGTGGAAAACAAATCTAGTATTGCATCTGTACGGGGCGTCCATAAATGACGTCACGCGATTTTGGACCATTTTTGACCCCCTCCCCTCTCGTTACACGGCATCACAAAAAGTCAGACCGCCCCTCAAATATGACGTCACAAAGCTCTGCCCCTCCCCCCCAAAACCATATTTCCATTTTGAAAATAAAAATGCTTCAAATCACTTTAAACTATTGTCATTGTAGTGCGTATTTAATGTGGCGCTGCACTCTGATGTTGTAGGAGTGTTGTTATAACAATTCTATATTTATTTAAAGTTGCGCATTTTGATGTGACGTCACATTTCTCACCCTCCACCCCCTCGTCACACATCGTCACAAATGTCTGACCCCCCCCCCCAGGTGCATGACGTCATTTATGGACGGCCCCTAGTGGTGTTATTTCACACATTCTTTTTCTCCTGTGTCACTTTATTCGAACAGAACTCCACGCGTTCAACACCACGTATCTCCGTAGCAACTCTTCTGCTGGCACTGCTCTCCTGCTACACTCCGCTCGCACCGATCGCTCCGCTCGCTCCACTAGCCTGCTCTCTCTCTCACTCTCTAGCCTCTCCGCTGCTAGCCTATCGCTACACACTCTGGTAGCTTCCCTACTGCTAGCCGTATCACACTCAAACTTAAGATTCCGCTAGCCTCTCTACTGCTAGCCTGTCTACGCTCACTCCTCCATCCTCTCACTTGCCTCCAGCGGGGATCAGCCAACACTGCGGAGAGGACGAGGTGTGGAGAGCGAGGTCCCAGACTTCTCTTGAATTATCCCTTGTCTTCACTCCAACCAACTCAACTCCTCTGCCTCACACGTTCCTCTTTTATCCTCCTCCTCATTAAGTGTCCCCAGATGGCCCTCATTAAGCCGGTATCTTCTCCACGCCTCACGGACGTGTTCTCCGCCTTATCGCCACTATCTCTCGCCTCTGTGGTGCCTACTCTGCGTATGCATTTGCAGCCAGGCAATCACTGCCTCTTTCCCAAATTGCTGACGTCTCTCTGTCTGCTGTCACCCAGGCCATCCGCCTGCAACTGCTAATTCTTAGCTGACCTCACTGTCTGCAATCCCGCACATAATGCAACCGCTGTTTGCAAACCCTGCGAGTTACGCCACTACACATCTTTAACTGCTGCTATTAATCCATAGCCTACCCTTCAAGGGGCTCATACCACCAGGTTCTGAAACTGGTTTTCCACTGTCACTGAGTTTTCTACAGTCAGCTGCCAGACACAAAAAAGCATGCACCTTTTCCACAGCTGTATCAGCATGCCTCACAGACAATGCCACACACATATCCACTCATACACTATTAATTAATCAATTATAATTTTCCTCATTATCATTGTGATTAGTATGGAAAAAACATATTATTCAGACGAGTAACATGTAATTATTTTTAACACCAAATGTTTGTTATCAGGGTATATCCGCAACAGGCCCTCACCTTCTCCACATCGCCCAGCCCCTCTGTGTCCAGCAGCAGCAGACATTTCCTCTCGTCGCGGGGGTGACGGACTGGCCAGATCCAGATACCCTTGGTGTGGGACTGCACTGTATTACCCAGTGAGAAGCCTGAGGAAGCCAATTAAATAAACGTGTCATCTTGTGTATAACGTACAATATGGCCCACTCACTTTTTCTGTGAGCTGTCCTACCTCGGGTGCATTCACAGGACGTGTCCACTGATAGACAGGAGGTTCCTGGTGCAAACCCTAAATGGAAGTTTGATCCCACAACCTCTTGTCTCCTGGATGTTTTGTCTTCTTCACCTGTGAACCGGTTTAAGAATCATATTTATGCCCCATCTGGCCCTTCCCTCTAAGTTTCTCGAATCTGCCTTCCTCCAGTGGCAGACCAATGGTGGCTTCGCCTCTCCTGAGCCCACGTGATTTTTAACTGTAACAGGAAGCCATTAACCTTCTTCTTCCTATGTGCACAGATATAATGTCAATGCTGCATACACATTTGTTGCTATAATTGGGTCCTTGGTTAAACATGTGGTGACAAATTTCCATCTTCTCAACCCTCATCATTACTGTAGTGCACATTGTTTGAAATCCCCCAATGACCAATTACACTGTTTACGTAAATATAGCTAAACTAAAAATATATATATATTTGTACATATATCATTACATTATACACTCTCAAAAGGACGTGGGGACAATGGATTGTCTTATTATTATTTTATTTTTTATGTGCCAGAACAGATAAGGGGATGGAGACATCTGTTTGGGTATTTTGTTACTCAATCTCTACGTTCGAAATTATTTCGTGTTATTAAATAAATAACACGGGCAAAAGTAGTACACAAATGGGGGGAACATGCCGGTTTAAAAGAACAGATACGTGGCACCCGCCCAGCCCTATCCCTAACCCCCACCGATGATGACGTTGGCTCTTTCATTGACCACCTTTGGAGTGTCTCTGAAGGCAGGTGCCAGGCCCACACGCCCCACATCTTTGGCCCTTCAGGGTGCATGCTCAGCCTACCAGCATGGGGTCCACTCGAACAGGAGCAATGCTCCCCAACCCCCCCGCTTTTCCACATCATGATTGTTAATTTCATACTATTGTAAAGAGCAGACCAGTCCTGGGTAGGGTGAATACAATGTTACTTTATTTGCGGCGCTCTCACTCAGAACCACGTCCCTCATTCCTCCATTTCCTACCAAGAAAGCACCCCGAGCCCTCCGCCTCTCCCGCCGACGTCACAACTCTCTCCCGGGGCCGTTTCCCTCGCCGATCGCCCCGCCTTCCCTCCCTTTTTATCTGATTCCGTCAGCCTCTCGGGGGCATCTCATCTCACGTAATAAGTATTTATAAATCACCACCCACCCCCCACTCCTTCGAAGGAAAATTAGTCCTCGATTTCTCACGAGGATTATTTCCTGACATCAACACTGATGCGCATCCATATTTATAAAGTGGCTGGGACCTTGCACAGATACTCCCGAATTTGCAGGATGCCGTTTCGGAGCCTATGCAAACCCCTGCCTAGTAAGGGTTATGCACTGTTTCTGGACTCAAAAAAGCGATCATAAGATAGGTTTTTGGGATAGATCGCTTAAATATATAAATGTGTCGTTAAAACCCGCCACCACCCGATGCAGCCAACTAGTAAGGGTTGTCACGTAAACAGAACATGCCAATTCGTCACTAGTACTGCACACCGATCCAAGCCAAACTATAAACTTTCATAGATTGCCCTGGCGATCCATGACTATAAGATATTATTAATCGCTATGTACGATACTAACTGCTGCTTTAGCACCTGGTCATGCAGCAACGTCAACAAATGCATCAAGTCCATGTTTAGGGTGTCCAATAACCTCACAATCACTCCTCTAAACATCTAAGGATGCCCCCATATGGCTGCATAAAAGTGTCTACATTGGGTAATTTCCAAGTTAGCAACACTTACGAGCACTGCAGTGTAGGACCTATCAGGAATATGTTTGATATGAACCAACCTCTGGACCGCCGGGGTGTGGGAAGTGCAGGTCTGGCATTTGGTTCCGTCTGCTCAAATTTCCCAGGTCTGAATTACAAATTAAAAAGTACACAACACAAATTATATTAAAATATTATCAAATGGCCGTCTCTCATGGCATAGCAACACAGCAACAGCCAGGCTGAGTGTAATGAAACTGAATCATTGCCCTTTATATGAAGATTTTTAAGAGCAATAAAAAAACATTCTCAAAGGCACAGCAGAACTCAGCTTTTTGGTATAAAGCGCCGATGACCAAATCACTTGAAATGCGCCCTCAGTTGTCAATTGTCGGACATTAAAAGCTAAGCAGGTTTGAGCCTGGACAGAGCTTGGATGGGGCTGTGCTCCATCGTGGGCAGCATGTGGCAGCACCAGACATTAATGATTAAACCGTACTCATGAGTCCTACTGAGGATGAAACCTGTTAACAGGTTTGTTTCTCTGCTTTATGTTGGGATGCACAACGCTTTAAGTTGGTGGTACAAACTACAAAAGGACCACATATTCAGTTATTGTAAGCTTTCTTGATAAGGCTGAGAACTCATTCACATGCAATACACATGTGTGCGTGTTGTTACATCTAATGCATTGCCCTGTAAAGTATTTCAATGATAGTGCATCTGTGTGCTCACTGCCTTCACAGTCCGCAATGCCTGGATTGGTAACGTATGGTCAAATAACACCCATGATCTGCACGGCAGGGGAGGCCCTCATCCAGTGTTGGATTAACAAAAGGGCTGTACAAGACCATGTGCCTGGTAACGGTTGTAAATCGGTTGTCAGAGTGAAACATCACTCCTGAGGGTGCACTCGCTGTGATGTTTTTGTTATTTCCCATAGAACATCCAGCCAACATCTGTTTCTGCGTGACACACCCAATCATTGCCCAGCGCTTGACCATGTTCCTCACATTGGTTAATTCCTCTCCATCTGTGGGAACAAAAACACAGAGAAGTCAGTGCTTCGCTGTAGTGACATAGATATTGAGTGCACAGGCGGTGCAACTGCACTGTGGTTCACAGGCCATAGTGGCCCATGCACTCGGTGAGAGGGGCAGCTGCAGATTGGTGAGATTTAGAAAGACGGTGCCAATGTCAAGTTCTGCAGTCGGGTAGTTATACTAAAACTAGCTGGGAACCGAGTAACGAACAGCTTATGTAGTGCTATAAATTGCGTAGGGACAATTTGTCCCACGTTCGATTCGATGGGATGTATGTAAGAGAAACGCAAAAAATATATATGATAACATATCGGTGGTGTTAGGAATCTTAAGTCCGCCATTGCTCATGTACACACACTCGAATGCTCTCAAAACAACAAACACACAGACACAATCAGGCGTGTACACAGTCACAAAAAATATCTCATCCCGACAAATACACGCACTGTATCGAATAAGCCAAGAAGAATATTCCGAAATTGCCTTTGAAAACTGTATGTGAGAGCCTACGAAAGCCAACATGGCAAATAATAGATAGACCCAAACACACAAACACACTGTCACCCACACGTATAACAATGCTAATTTACACTTTTGCACCTTTCATCCAGAGGTCACAAGGCGATGTACAAAACGCAAACACACACACACGCTGGCTCACACCAACAAAAGTTTCTAGGAAGAAGTTGCGTACTAAGGTGCTATTTGAATAAAACAAAGTGAATTCCACAGTCTGGGGGCCACACGAGAAAAGGCGCGGTCACCCATCATAGAGATATCAAGACATACCCATGCAAAGTAACACACTTGCACAATTACATACATGCACCCTCATACACTCGCATTAAGAAATGCATGCAAAATCACACACATTACTTAAATAAAAACATTAATAACATGAATATGTAACTTACCTAATCCACATCATGGGTGAAGCTCAAGGGGCGATAAAGTCACAAGGCCACATTCCACAGGGACTTAATGCAATTGTAGTAATATTGCATCAGGATTATTTTCCTGACATCAACACTGATGCGCACCCATATTTATAAATTGGCAGGTACCTTGCCCAGATACTCCCGAATTTGCAGGATGCTGTTTTGGAGCCTATGCAAACCCCTGCCTAGTAAGAGTTATGCACTGTTTCTGTACTCAGTTAAAAAATAAGTGTTACATAGTTAAGAAATAGCTAAAGCGCCCAAACGTGTATGACCAGGACAGTTTCAGAGTCTTGAGAAGCAATGATTACTCCTTTGGTTCTTTCGGTAAAGTCACGTAGAAAGAATATTAATTAAATAATATAATACGACGTTTCGATAGCAACACAAGCAATCGTCGTCAGGTTAAAACACAAACCTAGTAAACTTAGAAATACAATGCAATACAACACAGAGAGCCGGCTAACACAACAGTCACACCCTACCTGGTTGATTACGTTCTTCCAAAGATTGCTAAACTTGAGAGAGAGACAAAACACAGACACGAAGACACACAGACACACAAGCAGAGAGAGACAAAACAGAGACACACAGAGAGAGACACACACATAGCCACACAGAGACACAACGCATCTATGTCGAGACCTTAAATAGAGACAGAGTGGGGTGGGGCAGAGAGAGAGGTGGGGGTGCTGGAGCAGAGAAATAAGCATGTCAATGAGAGAGCTGTGTGTAAATCCACCCCGCGGCAGCCGGGAGAGAGAAAGACCCGTACAAGCCTGGTAAATTTTAGAGAGAGAAATAGGAAGTTTGAGAAAACGAACTTAGCAACATTTTTGGAAATGTAATGGAATGCACACAGAGAGTCGGTTAACACGCAGTTAACGAATAGCCTGGTTGATTACGTTCTTCCAAAGATTGCTAAATTAGAAGTTAAGTGTGAAATTTGACAAACAGAGACACAAAGAGAAAGAGAAAACAAACTTAAATAATCTCCGTAGAGGTCGTTCAAACTTGATTTGAAGCTTTCGTGACTGCAGGAATTGTTATACAATGTATTCCGTCTAATAAATGGACAAATGCCTCCTTATTTTATATGCGGACTGTTTGACCGTGCTTTTCCGTGCTGATCAGTGCGGGTTAAAATAATTTCTATGTTCATCCCATCACCGAAAATTTGACAAATCACACCCGGCTATGTTCTAAGCGTGGTACAACACCGCTTGTATATGTGTAGTGCATGGTATTTACCTGGTTCTTTACTATGATGTAGGCTTGATTCTCCTTCTGACCTGTGCAACAAATTCAAATCAATCATTCGTGTCGTTGTGGAGATTATAAGGAACAACATATATCAGCAGACAATATTCCTCATTCACATATCTGCCTCTACATATACAAAATAAAAGTGTATTTTACACATACCATCTTAAATTATCTACAATAATACTCATGGTTATTTAGTTTAATGTAATACATATAGTTTTTCTGCAAGCTCGGATTCATGACGATAAGATATTACCTAACACTAGATGGCCGTTGACCAGCATAGGTTCAGACAAGCCTGACTTTACAAATAAGACGCTGTCAAAAACTAGTCCAGTTGTTTAGTTGTGTTGAACCAATTCTGCTGAAAGTATGCACTCCCAGAGGTTACGTGGCTCATGAAACATGTAATGTTGATATTTGGGGTGATATTAAAACGGCTCTATGTTCTGCTTAATTCCTTTGCTTGATTTGAAGCTTTTTTGACTGCGGGAAAAAACTCTTTGGTTCTTTCGGTGAAGTCACGTAGAAAGAAAATAAATTACATAATAGAATACGACGTTTCGATTGCAACACAAGCAGTCGTCATCAGGTAGAACTCAATTTGAGAGAGAGACAAAACACAGAAACGGAGACACACAGACAGACACACAAGCGGAGAGATGCAACACACAGAGAGAGACACACAACATAGACACACAACATAGACACACAGAGACCCAATGCCTCTGTGCCGTGGCCTCAAATAGAAAGAGAGGGGGGTGGGGTTGGGGCAGAGAGAGAGAGAGGTGGGTCTGCTGGAGCAGAGACATTAGCATGTCAATGAGAGAGCTGTGTAGAAATTCACCCAGCGGCGGCAGGGGGAGAGAAAGACCCAGCAAGTCTGGTAAATTTTAGAGAGAGTTGTGTGGAAATCCACCCCATAGCAGCCTGGGGAGAGAAAGAGCGAATGGACCTATGAGAGCCTCGTAGATTTTATAGAGAGAAATAGGCAGTTTGAGAAAACAAACTTAGCATTTTTTTTGGAAATGTAATGCAATGCAACGCAAAAAGTCTGACATGTTATTTTTGTTTTATTTTATTTATTTTTCTACCTACGTGACTTTACCAAAAGAACCAAGGAGTGTTATTTTACTGTCTCCAACCGCAAAGGTGCCCAACACACGGACGTGGATGCCCTGTCGCGATTGCCAAAGAGCGACGGGTGCGCGTGTTTCTCAGGCTCGGGGCGCTGTACGACGCCTGAAGAGGCCTCGCCCCCTCCCTTTGCGGCGTCAATCGAGGTTGACACCCCTGATTAAGCCGACGGTTCTGACGTGTGTGACGCCGTTATTGGCTTGGACAATGCGGAGTGGGGACGCCTCCAGGTTGAGGACGCTTCCCTGTTTAATATATGATGCTGTGTGAAGGGGGCAGACGGGGGTGGGGATCGACGGGGTGTAGCCTCTGTCATTCTCAGAGGCGGGTTGCTGATGCGTTGGGACGGAGGGTTGCGCCATTACAACATCGTCGTGCCCACTGCCCTGTGGGGTAAAATAATCTGAGCAGTGCATGAGCGACTGCTGCACCTCGGTGTGCATAAGACACAAGCCACACTTAAGTTCGACTTCTTCTGGCCCGGTATGGTGGATGTTGTCGCTAATGTATTGAAGGGGTGTGTGCAGTGCGCTCGGCGGAAACCCCCGTCTAAACCCTGGTGTCCACCATTGCAATCTATTCGAGTTTCCCGCATAAATGAGTTGGTCGCTCTTGATATCCTTGGTCCATTTCCTACCACCCCTCGTGGGAATAAGTATTTACTGGTGGGCATCGAATATTTTTCACGGTGGCCGATGGCCTGGCCGCTTCCCAACCAGTTGGCGGTGGTCATCACAGAGGCATTCCTCGACGGCTATGTGATGGACAAGGGGGTGCCTGAGCGCCTTCTGACCGATCAAGGTAAACCATTTTCTTCTAAATTGCTGCGGGAGGTGTGTGATTTGTTGGGAACAAAGAAAGTACGTACGTCGCCCTACCACCACCAGACAGATGGGATGGTGGAGCAAGTCCCAGCTTGACTGGGACTTGGCTGCCTATAGAATGGCCCCTCATGTGTCCACTGTCTACTTGCCATTTGTTTTAATGTACGGGAGAGAACACGACCCCCTGATTGATGTCTAATAACAAGCTGCGCCAAACATAGCTAAATCTTAAATTTCGGAGTCCATGTGCTTTACCCTTCAGAGGCTTTCAGAAGCACGCGAGGCTTCCAGGGGAAATTCTAACTCACGCCAATTGGCAAATGAGCGGCTGAGGGGTCTCCGTCTTTCTGGACATAAGTGGTCTCCAGGTAACAGAGCCTGGCTGCACTGTTCCCAGGTACCGGTGGGTACATCAGCCAAATTGTTTAAACATTGGAGGGGGCCGGTTGATGTGATTCGGGCTGTTCGGCCTCTGTATTCAAATTCGCTGGGGTCAACGGAGTTGGTTTGTACATCCCTCTCGCCTAAAACCTTTCATCGTGCCATGTGAATTCATCACATCTCCACTATGCAGGGGCCGAGTGTCGGGTGTGTCAGGCAAGCTGAGGTGTGTACCCGCTGAGGTTGGTCCTCAGGGGAGTTATGTGATCCCGTCCTCAGGTTCTGCGCGTTGAACTTCCCCAAAGCCGCCGCCTGCTTCAGGAGTGGAGGGCCCGTCTGCCCGGCCGACTGCTCTTCATGAGGAACCGGGCACATTTTCCAATTCGCCCTGGGACCCCCAGGGAGCTTACGCCCACCTCGCCTGAGGGACCGGCCACAGGGACTCATTCCAAGACTGTTCAGTTTTCGTGACCCCCATACACACACACTCCCACGCCGTCAGTTGGTTGTCACACTCGTCATGTCGTATTGGTCATTGGCTGAACCTGGCCTTTATTGTGCTTGCGGGTGTTGTTACACGGTGAGGGTGGGTGATGCTGGAGGGGGTCCCGAGGTTTCGTGTGTTACCACGTGTTTTTTATTCTCTTCTTCCGCTCTTCTCTCTCTCTTCCTTTCTCTCTTCCGTTTTGTTTTTGCGTATTGTTGGTTCTTTACTTCTGTTCCCTTCCCCTGTTCGTCACTGTATATAATGTAGATATTGTACATATGGGATGGGGTATTTATTTGTTGAGGCACACTGAGGGGCTTTTGTTTTTTGTTGAGGGTGAGTTGACAGCCGGGATGGCTGAGTTTTATGAAGGGGGGGGGGGGTGATGTAGTGACACCGCTGGTTGTCACCATGCTGTGGGTGCAGTACCTGCCCTAGAGGGGCACGGTGTGCGCTGAATAATAGCGCTGGATGACACCACGCTTTATGTGCAGTGCCGACCCTACACGACAGGGTGTGTGGGTGCCAACCGAAGGATGAGGTTGTGCGTGGCCATGGCACTCTGGTTGACTCAGGAGGACACGTGACCGGTTAAATTGACAGAGGGGCCCCAAGAGGGGGCTAAGGGGTGTCACGTGATTGGGACCCAGATCCTTCCCGAGGATTCTAGAAGGTGGACATGGCCAAGAGTGGAGCAGGCCGTGCCACAGAGAATATAAACCGTGTCCCGAGAGGGACCAGGGTGGTTATTCATCCTGGAAGAAACCCTTCATCTATGTTCTCCGTTCAACGAGTCTCCAACACGTGGACCCGGGCCGAAGTCGTTGGTCCTGGTCCATAGTAGCAGTTACGTGGTAACTAGTGTGGTTAGCCGGGGGGTCATTACCTTAGGTTGTTATTCTGGTGAGGGGAAGTTACCCCGTGTGTTGGAACTGAATAAACAACTTGCCTCCAAGTCTACGAGTGCCACTCAGTTGAACCCATTACACAGGTAAGGATATGTGTTGTCAATGCGCTGAAGACGCAGGACCGGTGAGCCCAATCCACCACCCAGGGACCATCAGGCTCAAGCAGCACTCCTTCATTGGTTCCCCTCACTTGCCCTGAGTCTCTGTAGGACTTACTGGAACTCCCGGCACCTCATCACCTCACTCGGGGTTAGGAAATCTCACCTTCTCCCTGCAATGTGGATTCAAAGTTTGGCTGGATAGAGCAATCGTAAGCGCACCCTATTCCTGTTTTCCATATCTCTATGCAGAGGGAGGAAGTTCATCTTCTTCTAGTCAGCCGAAGTAAGGTCAAGTAATGTAAAGTTTCCCTCAATTTTAGTGGCTTTACACTTTAATATTCTTGCCATTTTTAGCGCTTCTTCAGTTTCATGCCAATTGGGGAAGGGGGTGGGGTCTCAGATTATTTGCTTCCATTAAATCTTGCCCCTCTTTCCTTCCAAACAAGTGTGTTGGTTGTTGATGCGGAGTTCCAGGTTCTTTTGTATAGAGGGTCAGAGTTTTTGAATGTAGCAGATAGCTCCTTGGGAGGCAGTGTCCTCTACCCCCTCCACGTCACCAGAGGCCTTCAATTGACTTTCCCAGCCCTTACTATATAGATTATTAAACGTCTTCATTAGCTCCTTGAGTTTGTTATTATCTACTTTTCTCAGGTTCCCGTGTTCCTGGAAGAGATGCCATTGCTAACTCTTGTTTCTCTACCCTCTCATTAATCCTGTTTAGTTTTTCGTTGAGACCCGGAGTAGAGTGGGTTTCTCCTCCGTTTATTGACCAACTTCCCGGGTGTTTTGGAAAATGTGATTGGCATTTTCAAGTAAAGCTTGTAGCATCCCATGATTCCCTCCAGGAGGGGTCTCAGGTCTTTCCTTGATTGAAGAGGTTAATGGAGAGGAGGTCTTTGACTTCTTGCTTGTGACTCTTTCCGCTCTTCAGCACGTGGAGTGTAAGGCAAGCCAACAGCGGCCTAAGCTTCAGTTACATAAGACAGGACCGAGTTAAAATACAATTCTAACTTTTTCGTGCAGGGAGAAAGGCATGCAAGAATCTGAGTCTTCCAATAAAAAAACTGTAGAAACCTCGTGCATTGGGCTGATATTAATGAAAGGGTCGAAGTGGTCTTATTGAGCACTGCTGACTCGGTCATACAGTCACCGGAAGACGCTATTCGTCTATTAAAATGATCTTTGTCATTATTTATGAGAGTCCGTGTAAGTATAGTGAGAGTATTTTCAAGTGAATGTGCACGTGTGTGTTTGGATGTGTATGTGCTTGTCAAAGTGCACGTGTGTGAACATGAATAATGTCTATCTCCAGGGTGGTATTGATCGACCCTTATTTATAATGGAATGGTTGCGTTTTCATACGATTAATACCATATTTATTTAGAGTTAGGACAAGTGTTACACAAATTCTAGACTTTTTGTAAGTTGTTCCATACTCAGGTGCCAGGTTGAGACCATCAACTGCTATTCAGAAACCAATTTGTTGAAACAGTTTGAAATCATGGACTGCATTATTGCCATTTCTAAGCCAACCCAGACACCTCATATCTCCACTGATGACAAATAAGACTCACCTCTTAATCGCAAACTTGGGATGCATGTCCAGCTTTAAGACAGGTTTCACTGCTTCTGATGTGAGGAGACAAAGCAGTGATACAAGAATCAATATTTTCTTATATGCAAATAATTCATTAATATTTAATCTCAAACGTTACAGAATTTGTAATGCAGACATATAATTTATTGTCAGGGACAGAGGGTGATCCAGAGGCATTTTCAACCACAGACAAGTGGGCATAGCAAAAGTTGGTGTTAACAAGTGGCCAAGCTCTGTGGCCCTTAATATTTGGCCAAAACTGCGGTTGGCAATAGCAAGGCCTTATGGGAAATAGGAGGTTAGGGCAATAGTAGAGTGACGGTCGCACTCGTCAAAGCTTAACTTATTTGCTTATTCCTTCACTAAATACAAGTAAAGGCATAGCATAAACATCAATAAATGTTCAAATAACAGAATTAAAATAATGTTATTTTACCGTTAATGTTGAGAGTTGAAGTTCATGGTGATGACGATGATGTTGATGAGGATTCGAAGGAGGAGGAGGGGCTTTGCCCACCCTCTTCCTCTATCAAGTGGTGGAAAGAGAGTGGTGGCGGCAGTTGGGAAATGAGATGATGCATGGAGGGAATATAGATGTGAGTGATATGAAATTACAAGTGCCGGTCGCCGTGCTAAACCGTTGATACACAAACACCATACCACGGTAAGCCAATTAGTATACCGAAGGAAAACCGTGCATACGTAAATACCGTGAATGTGAAACACGCAGATGGTGAGGGATTGCTGTATTCTAATTACCGTACTATCGTACCCTCACAAACCAGAATTTGGCAACTTTGACACCCCTGGGTAGGAAGGAATTTTCACGAATGTGTGTTATCCACCAACACTCTCCCAGTGCTAAGTTATGAACGTCCGCTCGTACTTGTGAACCGAACCACGGAACTCCTTTGTTCAGTGGAACAATCATCCAGCATCAGGACTCAAGGAAAGTGATATCATAACCTTTTCTTTTCACGTTACATTATTTTGTATTATTTACTATACAATATTTCTCTGGATTAGATATAAATGGACAATATTCCTTATTTATGAGCATAACAATGCTTCCCTTTTTTGTATAACTGTAATATATTTTACTAACAGTATGTACAGTATGTGCCGAAGTATGAACAGCTCGACTTATGAAAGGAACAAGAAACACAGTCCGTTCGTAATTCGGGGACTATACATATGTATATGTGGGAAACGGTGGTGGAGCGGCTTGTGCACTGCTCTATGAACCGACAACGTGAGTTCGATTCCCGCTCATGGCCATCATTAGTGATAGCGATTATATGAAGTGGTCCTGGGCTTCCCCCCTAGGTCGACTAATCCTCAAATTAGTATCTGGTGTCATGTGTAAACTTCGCCACTGGGGAGACAAAGGCGCCCAGACGTGGTGTTGGCCACCCACCCCATTGTATGCTCTTTCGGCCTTCATAGGTACTTGCTAATAGCACTTGCCCCAACAGCCTTTGAAAGGCTTTACGGGGGATTTGTTTCTCAGTATACATTTGTTTTTATTTTACCAGGTAAAGCCCACTGAGTTATATAGCTCTTTTAAACAATCGACATGGCCACAAATAATAGCTGAACAAAGTGCCTTATAATGTGGGAATTTATAACAGCCAAATTATGCCAAATTATCATTGCAAGTTTATGAATGTGGAGGGAAAACCTGGCAGTACCCTGGGGTAACAAATAATACAGAATGGCCAAGGCAATAAAACATTTTATTTCTGGGAAACAATTTTTTCCAGGGATGTACTTAACTTCGCGACTGGGATACCAATCAATCCGAAATCAGTGCTACTCCGAAATGTCGAAACGCAGCGAGGACGATTGCGCTGAAACCTTGAACGCTCGTACGCACCACAGTGCATCGTGGACAGCTCGTCGAGATGAGTCGATTGCCGCATCGCCGACCATCAACAGACTAAAAATGACTGCATCATGGACATTATGCGAGAGCCGGGGTACTATGGTACCACCGGGTACTGCACGAGGTGCAAATGGCAAGTGAAAAGCCGCTGCGAGGATCATCCGAGTTCATGCGATGTTTTATGCTCCTTGACGAGATCAGCACGGTATTGTGCTTCATTTCTGGTAAGCACCTTTTGTGTACTGAGTGCGACCTTATAATGCATTCAATCGGCAACCAGAAGCCAATACAGCGTGGCGAGCACTGGACGGACATGATCTTGCAGTGCCCGTCACGACATGTGCCAGATAATTGTGTACATGCTGCAGTGAGGTAATGTTTTTGGCAGACGTCATGTAGTTAGTTGCAATATCAAGATTGTTGAGTTACTGACGTGTTAGAACGTGACTTGATAATTTCGTTCAGATCATTGTTGATTTTACCACATGAATCAGTAAGTTCGGAACAGTTTAAGTCAACACAGATGATGTATCGAGAGCCAAGGTGACCCAAAGTCTAGGAAACTGGAAAGCTCGACAAATATTTCCAACACCGGTGAAGACGGTGGTCGATAGATTACGGTGATCAAAAGCCTCCGCACGCTGTTCGTTATTTTCACAAGCAGCACCTCGAATGACGGGAATGTAAATCAGTTCCTTAGGACCTTCATGAAGAGGTCTCCAGGGTGAATCTGTGTGATCTTACCACCATGTCTGCTGCGGCTTTTTGCGATGTTGCTGATGTACAATAAAATATCCGTCAGATGCAGCCTCATGCTTAATTACGTCCGGTGAGGCATCATATACCCAGGTTTCAGTAACAGCCAATATATCGAGTCCACAGCATAACCATTTGCAAGGCATTGCAACAAGCGGCATTTCCACAGTAGATCGTAGCACAGTTGGTGTGGAACCGATCAGCACTCCCTTCTGCACGATGGATGCTGGGCAGTGTCTGCTGGTGAGTCCCACCAAAGTATCGGTGACCTTTTGATGAGATATCATTGATTTGTCGATCCAGGCCAAGAGAAGTTCGGGTATGGCCCCTCATTCTCCAGGGAAGAGGGGAGGCATTGCTTCACCAGACCATTCAGCTTCCTGAGCTAGAGTTCTGCGAGTGAAGCAGAAGTTGCAACATCGCCATTGCAAGGTGTGGTTGCTGTTGTTGTTGCTGATGTTGTTGCAGTTGCTGTTATGTTGCTGCTTTTCAGTTGGTACTGTTGCTGCTGTTCTTGTTGCTGTTATTGCTTCTGGTGCTGTTATACATGCAACATGTTGGTGTTAATTAAAACCCTCTGATCAAATCCCTCGATCAAAGGTGCTATGTTTCACAAATCGTCTGCAGTAGTTTTTCTTTTCTTTCTTTCCTTATGTTGCCATATGCAATCCCAGTTGAGTAATTTATAACTCACATTTGGACTATGACACGAGGACTCTATGGTCCTACTCTTTTTGAATAACAAAAGAGATTAAGTTCGATAGGGTGTTTGTTAGGATGCCTGGCACCACAAAGTGCAACCACCAGGACTGGTTTGACTAGAATAATACCACCATTGGCAGATTGCTAAAGGAGAAGAGGGCTGCACGTAATATACTCTTGCAGGAAAGAGGCTAACGAGAAAAGACCTTTGCCTTCCACAAACCCTGAGTTGTACCACACAAAGCGGTAATGAGAAGGAAACTGAGCTTGTTTGGTCACAAATGCAAGATGGAGAACAATAGGAAAAAATGGGCAATGGAGCCATACTACCTGACAATGGATATGGAAGTATTTAGATGACCAACATTAGCACACCATTTGAAACACTTCAGCAACTTAAAGAAGCTGTCATTGGTGATTTTGCACGCCAATTCCTATACCACAAGTGGCGATGCGACAGAGACATCCTCGCACGAAAAAATTACATTGTTAATATCACTAACAACGACCTCCGTTCCGAGTTGCCAGGCAGGCACTCCTTACACATTCAAGTCAACTGACACTGTACTGGACACGAATGAGGCAGTCAACGACGCTAAATAATGTCTCAACTCTCTGCAACCACCTGGTCTGCCTCCACAAAAATACACGTCAATATTAGCGTACCCATCATGCTTCGCAGGAATTTAGACCCACGAACACTTTGCAATTGTACATGATTAGCCGTGAAGAAAATTATGCCCCATGTAATTGAAAGCCAGAAACATGACTGGTCATGCAGCAGGACACCATGTATTCATTCCACGCATTCCAGTCAATCACTCTGACCTGTTCTGTCAACTTAAACACCATCAATTCCCTGTCCACCTCGGTTTTGCAATGAGCACCGATAAGGCACTGAGTTAATCACTCAAAGTTGTTGGCCTCAACCTGCTAAGTGCATGCTTCTCTCATGGTCAACTCAACGTTGGTTGCTGCAGAGTTGGCTGTGCGACAAATCTTTTCATATTGGCACCAGGTGAAAATACATGCATCGTTGTCTAACCTGAAACTTTCCAAGGGTAACAGATTTAAAAGCTGTCCTCTTATCAAAAAACAAAAAAGCCTTGCGACTGTATCACACCACCCAAAAACCATAACAAAATACACACATTTACCGACTTCGTATGCAGCATTCAATTATTCTAAGACAGCAATGCAATATATTACTCAACATTTGATGACCGAGACCCGTGTGAAGCCGGAAAACTTAGGATATAGGGTAAAATATATTATAAGTGTACTTATGACTTGTTTGAGAAAAATAATGTTTAAACTTCATAAATCACCGTCTATTGTTTCGCATTGTCAAACACTGTTAGGCCGGAAGTGATGACACGCATGGAATCCATCACTGTGGAAGCAAGGGTGGGTGTATCACACAAATGATACGTCATGAGACTCCCTTCCTTTGGCATCGATATGCAATACCCTGGCTTGCCAGCAGAATGCAGTACAACCAAGTGAACGCTCATAAAACATCTCCCTTCTTTATGGCATTGAATATTGCATCCTCCGGTGGCTCTGGTTTTTCCCACATGCATAAACATTTACTCTATTCGTTCTTTCGGTAAAGTCACGTAGAAAGAAAATAAATTAAATAATAGAATACGACGTTTCGATTGCAACACAAGCAATCGTAATCAGGTAGAACTAAATTTGAGAGAGAGACAAAACACAGACACGGAGACACAGACAGACACACAAGCAGAGAGAGACAACACAGAGAGAGACACACAACATAGACACACAGAGACCCCACGCCTCTGTGTCGAGGCCTTAAATAGGGAGAGAGGGGGTGGGGCACAGAGAGAGAGAGGTGGGGGTGCTGGAGCAGAGAAATTCGCATGTCATTGAGAGAGCTGTGTGGAAATCCACACCGCAGCGGCCAGGGGAGAGAAAGAGCAAATTAACCTAATTGATGATTGTCATTACACATAATGACAATCATCAATTACATTATGATCAATTACACTGATGTCAATGCCATTAGCATAATTGGCATTGAAGTCATTATCATAACATTCATATCACTTCATTATCATTTCAAAATATACCTTCCATATGCTTTTAAACTCTGCTGCTTTTTATTCAAAATGGTGGTTGGTAATAATCCAGTAGAGGGGGTTCCCGAATACAACAAATGGAACACCTACGCATCCAAAGTTACATCAAGTCTCACTGTTTGGAGTAATTGCAATGTTCTCATGACAAACTCGCTCGAACCGAAGTTCAGAGAAACGTCATTCATTTGAGATGATTTTACAACACTAACTTAGTTACAATTTTAGAATAGATTGACAAAAAGCTGATTTTGTCAACTATAAAAATTCGGCGATGATATTATGTAAGACTAGCAATTATACAGTTCCTCTCATAATGTTGAACAATTATATTCTCATTCATAATAAAATCACGAATGTGTTAGGTACATCAATGTCATCTGACCTGTTATGGAATGGCTGTATTACTAATCAGGCTAAGGCGACAGCAGAGAATATTTGTTTTCTTTTCCAGGTCAAACACTTTATTTTTTATTTAACTTTGAATACATATAATTGCCCTACAACGTATCTCAAATTCGTCCACAGCTGGGAAGCTCATCTTCTTGGTTCTTTCGGTGACTTTACCGAAATAACCAAGAAGATGAATCCCTGCAGTCACGAAAGCTTAAAATCGAAAATCTGGGAAGCTGTTGTTTTAACAACCATACCGCAGGTCACAACAACACTGACGGTACGCACTCACCCACCCACTCACCCACCAAACCACCCTCTCACGTACCCACTTACTCATCTACCCACCGAGCCACTCAACCACACAGCCACTCATCCACCAAACCACCCACACATTCAACCACCCAATCACCCACACACCCAACAATCTACCCACTCGTCCACCCACCCTTTCACCTAGTGACGCACCCACACACTCAATCACCTCACCTACTCTCCCACACACACTCTTTCCCACCCACCCACATATCAAGCCACCAACCCAATAACCCACTCACCCACCCAACCATATACCCACTCACTCACTCATCCACTCAGCCACCCACTCAAAAACCCAACCACGTATCCACCCAGCCTTTGATCTACTCACTCTTCCACTCGCCCATCCACATTTCACCTACTCACCCACCTCACCTACCCACCCTCTCACGCACCAACTCACCTACCCTTTCACCCACCAACTCACTCACCAACCCATCAAGCAACTTACCCAATCACCCACTCACCCAACCTCATCCACTCACCAACCCACCCATTCACCAATCTAACCACTCGTCCACCCACTCGTTCACCCACCCAGCTTCTCACCCACTCACCTAACATTTCTACTCACTAACAAACTTACTTACCCTCTCACCCATCCACGCACTCAACCACCCAATTATCCATTCATCCACTCACCCATTAATCCACTCAACCACATACCCACTCACCAATTAACCGACCCTTTAACCCACCCTCTCAAATAGCCATCAAGCCACTCACCCAATCATCCACTCAGATCCACACACCCATCCAACCCAACCACTCATCCACCCACCCTTTCACCTACCCATCCACCCTTTCACCTACTCACCCACCCTCTCAACCACTCACCCACCCACCTTGCATCTACTCACCCACCTCACGCACACACTCACTCACTTACTCACCCACCCAATCACTAACCCAACCACTCGTCCACCAACCCACTCAACAACTCACCACCCACCCTCTCAACCACCCTCTCACGCACCCACCAACTCACCACCACCCTCTCAAACACCCATCCACTCACCTATCCATCAAGGAACACACCCACTCACCCACCCAGCCAACAATATACTCACTCTCACCCACCCTCATCCACTCACCAACCCACCCATTCACCTATTCAACTACTAGTCCACCCACTCTCCCACCCAGCCTCTCACTGGCTTAGTCACTCACTAACCAACTGATCCACACGCCCTCTCACTCATCCACCCATTAAGCCACTCACTCACTCACTCACCTACTTACCCACCTACTTACCCACTTACCCACTCACGCACCCAGGTGTTGGTTCTTACCTCAACATTTGATGTTGTGTGCCTTTGGGGATGTGATCAGAGGCTGATGAAGGCTTTAACTACTGGATGAATGGTCACAGGAGTTGTTTGATCATACCCCCAAGTGGAGTGACCAGACCTAGTCCAGATTTTACTCGGCACTGACGTTAGCCATGTCGGGAATCAGACTCAGGTCACTGGGTTCAACGTTTTGCGTGGTAACCAGTCACCAACGCTTCACTCCCGCACCAGAATCAGAACAGCACTGTCTCAATAATGATCTGAGGCTTCTACTAACCTGACATGCCCCCAACCATTAACCCGACCTTACACTCACCCGAACAGATAGAGTACAAATTAATTCAATGAGTATCGACATGGTGTTCAACACCTGTTTAGAGCCCTGAGCCAGTGGTGGAAATTCCACATTCATATGGTGGGGTGCATCTATCCAAAATGCGAATAATGTTTACTTCCCTATAACATGATACTAGTTTAAACAATCTCGCATTGATGATAGGCTGAGTCAACCCCACCCTAAAAGGATTTGAACTCGCAACCTTCAGACGACTTCAGACCACTTAGCGGATTAGAAACCCATTCAAGGAGATACACAACCTGGAGCTAATTTACTGACCCATCCATTCACACACTCAACCACCTTAGTAATCCACTCACTTGCGAGTCGGTTCATGAGAAAGGATTTTCCGGTTCGATATTTCCCGGCTATCGCCACCACCACCACGGGCTTCTTGATTTTCCCCAGAACCTGCGCCGTGTCCTCGTTGATGTAGAATCTCCCGGTGTCGTCTGTCATGATGAACGGAAGCGGCATACTTGGGTACGGAGACGACGTGGTCATGACTTCTTTGCTTTGATCTCTGTGAATGTTTGAGTGTCTCTGTCTCTCTTAACGGGTGCCAGGCTAAGCCTCTGTGTTTCTCTCAACGAGTGTGTGTGCCTGTATCGTTCTCAACAGGTTTGTGTATGTCTGTTTCTTAGGTGTCTGTATTTATCACTCTCAACAGGTAATTGTATATTTCAGCAGGTGTGCGTGTGTGTGCGCATCGGTTGGGTCTTCACTCTCACGTTTAGTTAAGGGTTGTCAGAGTTTTTACATTGTGAACTTTGCCCAAGGCAATTACATACAGACCAAAATGCTGTGTTCGTCGTTAATTGTGATAACAGGGTTGTTTTTGACTTCGTTTTCAGACCCATTTTAATTGGGGCTTTAAGATCAGGCCTGATTGCCCACTGGCCAACCAGAGAAGGGCACTTTAAGGTTGGTGATTGCTACGTGATTGTTCAGGGGGAATGCACCTGTGGTCCAAATGGTTATAACTATATCAATATAGGACAGCCTACAAAAAATTGCCACCCTCTCGCAGTAGTTCGCTTTGGAGATCATCTCTGCAAGGGGCTTTACCTGGTCTGTGGCTCTGGATTGTTCTCCATACTTCCTCAACAGTCTCCTGGCTTCTCGAAATGTTATTTGGCAAGCAGACGTCAAAGATGGCTGCACCCCCCCCATGCAGCCTCGGACACAAGCAGAGTTTGATTTTTATTCTTTACTTTTGTGGTGACTGCGAGCACGACATGATGGTAACAGTTGAATGATTTTAGACCTCCAGTTAGCTTTGTAATACTGGAAGGAATACATGTATAGCGAACACAGATGGAAATTATGAAACCAATGTGCGGGTTTAGTAGTTTTGTTTGCCCGTCTAATGAAAGTGGTGGGTAAGGTGGCGGTGTTGAAGCGGGTTTTGGGCTCTGGTTGGAATTACAGCTGTGTAGGACTCTACAACAGTTGTTAATCAATCTGAAATCTCTTGAGCCAACAACTCATGGAATGTGACTTTAAATCATGACCAGCATCGTCCATAACCAATCTAAACAGTCCCTACCATCATATTAAACGATTATATGTTTATCCATAATAAAACTATTCATCTGTTTGGCAATCTCACCTGATATGCCATGGAATGGCTTTATGACTCATCTGGGTAAAAATGCATTGAAGAAGCTTGAATTTATTTTCTTTGCCAACAGGGGTGCCACAGTGGTGAGATGTTAACTAAATCACCTGATATGCAGAAGGTCGTGGGTTCATCCCTAACCCTGACGCCTGTTGTATATTTGGAGTTTGCATGTTGTTCCCGTGGTCCCGTGGAATTTCTCAAGATAATCCAGGTTTTCCTTCCACATTTAGATTGAATGTGAGTATGTGGCTGCTATACATTTCCACATAAGCCACTTTGGTGAGCTATAATGTGTGGCCAGGTCGCTTCTAAAAAAAGCTTTATGGATCAGTGAGCCTTACCTTCTAAATATAACAATAATTACTAGATGATTGAGCAATAATTGATTCACTCCAGCCACTCTAAAATGGTCACTAATATTGTGGTCATTATTCGTGAATTTCATGACAATGATTTGGTGAGATCATTACGTGGCCAAACCAAAACATCTAACATGAGTTAGTTTGCTTCTGGAACAACGGATTCAGATAGAGCGTTCAAGCCTCAAGACCGTCTCTTGTTTTGGATTCCACACTTTAGTTGCATTTTTATTTATTGTGGAATTAAGATAGGTGACAGCTAAATTGGGGAGCCCGTCATCCAGCAATACATTTAACATCACGGATGGACTTCTGTACACCAATAAAACATACTGAAGTTAGGTCATAATGGATAATCTAAACGAGTGTTATGCATCCATGTAATAATCAGAGCTAAATGCATAAACACTTTCTGCCTCATGTTGAACCTCTACTAGTTATGAAATAGTTAGACAGATAATATATAAATAAAACAGACAAATATTAATTATTCACTTATCTATGCCTTCTGGGAGTGCATGATTTCATGAGCATTGATTCAACACAAGCACATTTTTAACCGACGTTCAGTGTCTCATCACTGGAGTGAGGCTTGCTTGAACCAATGCTGAACTGTCAGATGTTTAGATAAGGGTTCAACGCAAAGCTAATAAATACATAACACTAAATAATTTGTATCGTTGTGGAAAATGTAAGTAACAAAAAAATTACTAGACAACATTCCCTTTTCACATATCTGTCCTTCCTACTAAAATATAAAAGTATCTTTAACCTTGTTAAAAATGTTGACCGGTAAGACCATTTCAGAAAAACAGCTTTGAAACTTTATCAACACTGTACGTAGATACGCGTACCATTCAAAGGTCATTCCAGTACACTGCAAACAAACCAGGCAACGGGTCTAAGCATGTGTAGTGACGCACTCAGATACACTATGAGTAGGAGGCACTCTATTTATTAACAGCCTTTACAGGTTACAAGAGGTAACTACAACTCTCAGTCAGGGCAGCTGGAAGACTGCCTGACTGACGACGCCGAGAAGGTGAAGGCGTAGATGGTGACGAAGACTCCAGCAGCACGACGAGGAGATGCCACTCCAAGCAACAGCCCGAGCCTTCGCCAGGGTCCCCTTTAATCCTCCCGGCGTGGCCTCGCTCTGCCCCAACCACGCCCCCCTTCTAGAACCTACTCGTGGGTTCCCGGGCTTACCTCACATGCCCCCTCTATCACATTTCCCCTACATCCCTTTCTCTGGCTTATCACAAAACCTGCTGACAGACAGGGCTGCTGCAACTGCAGATCCCCTTTTCTGCCAGCAACCCACGCTATGCTACGTAGTGACCCATTCCATGTCACTATACATGTAAAGGTGGGGTGATATATTTCCTTACCAAATTCTCTTTTAATTGTGAACAAATATTACTACATTGCATCTGAGCACAAATCCGAGCTAAGTGGGAATACAATTGTCACATTTATAGTGGAGTTGAAGCCTCACTGATAGCCTCTCACTGCTAATACATCAACAAACACCGTATCACAGTCCTGTTTTCACCAACTCTGTCCATGTGTCCGACAGCACATCCATGCCAGTAGCAGAAGCTGGCCCCTAAGGCGAGAAAAATGCTGATCCTGCCAATGTCTAGATGTATCATAACGCTCAGCAACATCATCTTTTGCTCCAAGGTCAAAGGTCATAGGAATATGAAAAAGGTCAGGAATATGTTTATCGATAACACACCCACAGCTAAAGCCGTCATGTGGAACATGGACTAGTTATTCCCCGGCAAAGGATATCCACTGCAACCAACTCTGATCGATATGTTGAGGAATCACCATGATGCAAGATATAAGAAATTACGTGTGATAGAATGTTCTGGGTCACTGTGCAGTGTGGCCTAAACAATTCAAGCACACGCCAGCCAAAGTTGTCTGAGATGTTGGGAAATATGTTTAACATGCATAATACGTACTTTTAGGATACCCCTTTTGCACGTTAGCGTTGTAATCGTAACATGTGCTTATACCCCGACTCGACGAACGGATTCAGATAGAGAGCTTTCAAACCTGCTCAACAACGTCTTTTATTTCGGATTCCACATTTTAAGTGGATTTTTTAATCGTGGAATCAATATATGTGACAGCTAATTGGAGAGCTCTTCATCTAGCAGTGAATTTAACATAACTGATGATTACTGACTTTTTTTATACCAAGAAAACATTAAATTGAAGTTTGTTCATAAAGGATCATTATTATCACTCCATGTTATAAACCTCTCTTGGTAACAAAAAAAGTGGGACAAGTAATACATAAGCAAACAAATAAAAATTCTTTACTTATCTGTACCTCCACGTAAACAATAACAAATATATTCTTACATAAGCCATCAGCTACGAGAACTGCTGTGAGTGCATAATTTCATGAGAATTGATTAAACTCAAGCACATTTCTAAACCAGTTTCTGTGTCTCATCAGCAGTGTGAGGCTAGCTTTAACCAATTCTGGTGAACTGTAAGATGTATATAAGCTTTGACCCGTTCAGTTAGATAAGGGTTCAAGGCAAAGATAGCAAATACATTACACGAAGTAATTAGCGTCGTTGTGGAGATAATAAGTAACAAATACTATTTCCAGATAACATGCCTTATTTACATCTGTTCCTGGCAAATATTAAAACTTGTTTTTACCCTTTTTAAAAACGTGGAGCAGTAAGAATGGTTCAGAAAACACTTTTTGGCGCAAGTCACGTTGGGAAGATATCGTATCAGTAAATAGTGATTCGCTTGCGTGACTTTGGCTGAGTCAACATGCAATTGTGATCAGACGTTACCTACCCCTATCCACAGCATATAACTACAGGGAGACAAAGCCAGGCCTGGAGGGGCAATAGTTGGCACACTTATAACAACTAATCTCGAGCTAATAAAACTACCATATACTCACCCACATAGATATCCATGCATACATACCCTGAGATGCCATATGTATATTTATGCATGCACCCACGGGCACACATCTATTCAAACACGCACACAGACACTGATATAGACATGTGTTAAGGATGTTAGACATCCTTGAATAGCGTCTTTGGAAGCCATGCAGGATATAAATTCTGGAAACTAATATAAAACATTACATTTCACCAGGTAAGGCCCACTGAGCTATACAGGTGTCTCGCTTAACGAGCGTTCTTTTTACGAGAATTCGCTATAACAAGCAACAATCAATCAAAGGCGTACCGTGAAAGCAGCGGGTGCTTCACGACCAGCAGCTATTTGCTTGGCAGCTGTACCATGCTGCTTGAACCGCGTGTGGATGCAAGGGGATTGGGAGACGTGGGTGACAGAGGGGTAAAGTGTGTTGAGTGGTGGCGCAACAGTTAGCGCACGATGCTAGGAACCCAGTCACCCAATTTCCATTCCCACTCATGGCCAACACCAGTGACGATTATCTAAACCAGTGTTTGGCCTCCCCTAGGACGACTCAGACTCAAATTATTACCTTATCCGGTCTGTAAACATCACCACTAGTGAGACAAAGGTGATTGGGCGTGGTGCTGGCCACCTGCCCGTCATTTGCATACCGGTCTTCATAGGTGTTCAATAACCGCACTTGACCTAATTGTCTATTTCACCTATACGGGGATCTTTGTCTTGGGGGGTTACAAGAGGTAACTACAACTCTCAGCCAGGACGGCTGGCAGACTGCCTGACTGACGATGCCGAGAAGGTGAAG